AAGAGAATATGTTCAGAGTGTTTAAACTCGCAAATAACTACAAATTGCCAATTGCCAGCTTGCATGTGACTGAAAATATTTTGGGGGTTGGTTTTAATTACAGGGTATGCATTTTTTTGTGACCGCGCTATACTATTTTTTACCGTAAATGTAATTTTCAAATATATATATTAAATATTAAAATATTGAGCTGATATCTTGAAAGTCATTGATGTATATGTACTTGCATAGATTTAAAATTAAGTTATGTAGAAATATAATAAATAATGTACAAAAATATAAAAATATTTTGTTTTTATTTCCCCAATAATAATAGGATCATTTTAATAGAGGTATTTCATAGAAGGCTACTTGATATCGGCTCACTATAATAATAACTGATAAGTGGGTGTATTATTTTTGAACATTGATTTAATGTCAATTTTAATTTCATAAATTAGATTCCCACTTATCAGTTATTATTATAGTGAGCTAAATAAGCGTGCCTACGTATATAGATACCAAAAAAAAAAAAATTAGTTCAGCGATTATACGCATGGAGCGCCACAATCGCCGTGGATCCACGACTTCGTGCGAGTTGCCCCTCTTTCTATAGTATACTTATTATACTCTTTGGTCTCAGTCGAAAAAATCTCTCGACACGATCGCATGTCCGTCGCGCGCGCGCATTTCGCTTGCAGCTCGTACCTATGCCATTTCTTTTGTATCGCCTTTCCTTCTTCAATACACCTTCTACTTCTTGCAGTGCTTTCTTTCTTTCCTACCTATCCACTGCTTTAAAATGATTGAATTTTCTATAAGTTTTGTACGAATTATTGGATTTTTCCCCCACATTAAGTATAAAGCAAACAAGTGTGTATCTTAGTAAGTTAAACTATAAATCTAAGGGACGAAATAAATCTACTACATATTGTCCTTGAAACAAATACGCCCTTTATTAAACTGTTCGAACTTTTTATAGAGCACTATTGTTTTTACTACTTTTAGTAAGTTCTTTTAGTGGTCTACAATCATATATTACATTACTTTCATACTTGATATATTAGGAACTAGCTGTCGACTACCGCGTAGAGTATGTCTGAAAATTAAAAAAAAAACAAATTAGATAATTTATTTATTGAATTCAAAAGTGTTTCAAATATTTCTGCAGATGAAAAAAACACACATTTATTATTCTACTACTTATGAAAGGAGCATCATAGGGTGATGGGAGGGGTCTAACATATGACCCCTCCCTACACGAGTGGAGCCCCTACCAAGGGGCTCCCCCCTAGCCGGGTCGTGGATAAACTAACGTAGATGCCACGGTCCGGTTGGGCGTAGGAGAACACCGCGGGGTTTAGTGGGTAGTCCGGTCTTGTTCCCAGACCGGGAGTCCCACACGAATCCGTCCCTGCAGCCCCCGCAGCACCGACGGCGAAGTGCACAAACGCATTCCCCGCGTTTACAAAAAAAAAACTTATGACAGGAGGGAACGAAGTAAGAGAAGAATTTCAAAACGTTGTTTTAAATTATGATCGCACTAAGAGTGACAAAATATTTAGCCAAAACATCAAGTGTCAATTTAACTCTGATACATATGTTTTACTAGATAATGGTCACAATTTTCTAACGATGTCATCAAAATATTTGACATCGGTTAATGGTAAACGCCAAAAGAAATTGATAGAACGACAAAAGAAAACTTCCTTTTGTAGTCCGTGGCCGCTTATTTAAAGGTCCGACATAACATGTCAATATTATTTGTCACTGCCAACCCCCACCTAAAAATAATACCTAACGTTCCTTAGAATTTTTCAACTAACAAGAATTGTTGAATAAATGTAACTTGGTATCTTTTTTTACATGAAAATGAAATGTATGTTAGAAAACATTCAACAAAACTAGCAGTGACCCGCGACTCCGTTCGCGTGAAATTAAACAAAAAAATATGTCTAGACTATGTTCGACATGTGTGCCAAATTTCATCAAAATCCGTTGAGCCGCTCCGAAGATACCTTCAAACATCCATCCATTTAAACATTCGTAAATAAAATACTGAACGTTACGTTTAGATTAAAAAGTAAAAACAAAACTCAGAAGAAATGCTACCACTAGGTAACGTGTTTCAGAATTAATTAACTTGTTTTATAAATTGCTTATTCTAATGATTGTATTTGCTTTGTAATATTTCTTTATATTATACCTTTGTTTCTGTTTGAGTGATTTGCATAACAAAGCCGAATAAACAACAAAGGTAGTACATTAAAATTCGTCGATAGAAAAACACTTAACCTTTTTTGAGTACAAATTAATTGGTTTTGTATAATGCTTTATTAAAAAATCTTTTCTTTAAAAAAAAAAGAAATTTGACATTAAACAAAACTTTACATTTTTTATTTTATTTATTATACAATAACTAAAATTCCTTTAAAATTAAACAAGAGTATTAGTATATAGAGAGCGTCTGTGGCTCAGGGGTCAAGCACTCGACTTGCAATCAGCAGTCCTGGGTTCGAATCCCGCCATGTACCAATGTGTTTTTCGATTTCCGATTTACATGTGTACATTTAACCGACTTTCTTACAATGAAGGAAAACATCGTGATGCAACCTGCACATATCTGAGAAGAAATTCAAAAGATATGTGTGAAGTCAACCAACTCGCACTTGGCCATCGTGGTAGACTTTGGCCTAATCATCCCTAACTTAGGGTAGGCTCTGAGCCCCTCGGTGGGGACGTATAGTGACCTGATGATGAATATTAAATTACAGAGATATGGCGATATACATATTAAAAGCTTAATTAAGGACAACATGATAAAATCAAAACCTATAAAAACATTTTTCATTCTAAACATTGTAGTCTGGTATTCAAATTATGTGTAGAACACTCATAAAAATTTTCGAATTTCTAATGCTTTAAATTTTTTAAGCAATTATTTATGACTTTGGTAACTCATAGCTTTACGATAAAATATAAGTTAGTTAATTCGTTAAATACATTAACGATAATGGTTTGTCAGATCTTATTACAGCTGTCATATCGGTTTCGTTTGTAGTTAGTTAGTAATTGAACAGTTATGGATCTGTAGACATTTTTGGGTATAAAAATTAAATCATTCTTATGAGTAACACAGACAACAGGCGAGCTTGCAAACATACCAATACGACTTGGGGACCTTCAAGAAGCGAGCATACCATTTCCTTAAAGGCCGGCAACGCATCTGCAGTTCCTCTGGTGTTGCAGATGTCCATGGGTGTCGTAATCACTTCGGTGTTCCCGCCGCTCGTTTGGCCCCTTCTATTATAAAAAATAATATAACATAGACGTGTAAATGTAGAAAAGGGGAGGGAGCATGCCAGAACCGGAAGATGGAGAGCCTTTAATTCTGTCCACTTCCTCTGTCACTTGTTGTGTTGTTAAAAAAGAATATGACAATCTACCAGTCTCAATAGGAATTAAGTAAATATCCAAGATTAAGAGACTTGAGTTTTAAAGAAATCTTTTGTTGAACATTGTGTGATATCTGAGAAAAAGCTCTCTTAAATTATTTTAAACATCTGACAATCTCAGAGGTAATTCAGTATTTATTAAATTAAATGAAGTAAACATTTCTACGTGCTTATTAATTTTCATCACCATATTATCAATATGCGGAAACGTAATTAATTTTTTAATTAAAAGAGAGGCAAGGCCACTTGGAATGTACTCTCTGGTGGCGTTGATTCATTAACTTGATACTAAATAAAATTAAAATGAAGTTAGCTTTTAACTTTTATTCATAATTATATTATGAAGCTATAACACACATTAGCTACCGCCCGCGACTCCGTCCGCGCGGGATTAAACAAAAAACTTAATTGGTAGTCTATGTGTCCTTAAAGACTATTTTCTACATAAATTTTATAGAGATTAGTTGAACCGTTAAGCAGATACCTTCGAACAAACATCCGTTCATACATCCATACATCCAAACATTCGCATTTATAATATTAATAAGATATAAAATTATATAGAGCTCTATAGACCTCGGCACCTGAAAACATCTGGAAAATATCGTGTTTTTTGGTTGACTTGAAAACAACAAAAAAAAAATACAGACGAATTGATAACCTCCTTTTTTTAAATCGGCCTAAAATACCTAAGCTAAGAACAGTCGATAGATTTTTACACCCATATAATATCAACATAAAGGATGATTCTTTGGTCAACATAATTGGTTTATTGTACACAGTATAGTATCCAAAGCAAAAATAGTGTGATAAGAATCACTCTGATTCATATTGGATTTATGGAATGTTGAAAGCACTTTAAATGTAACAATTTACAAGAGTACAGTGTACATTTCAGTAATAATATACATTTAACTTAAGAAATTGTAGTTATTATATGTACACGAAAATTTTACGTTATTATCTTTATTATAATTATTTTAATTTACCAGAAATGTAGTTTAATTTAAGGTTGTGAAATGTCCATAAGCATTTTAAGTTTCGTAAACGACAGTTATATACTTTTGCTTTGTTACTAAAGATGATATCAAAAATTGTATTTAAAAAATGGTGATTGTTAATGAACAGAAACAAAATGTGAGTATATCAAATAAACTAAACTCGCTTAAGCGTAAAAAACCTTAAATTACAACCAGTAAAAACAACATCTGTCGAACGAACGGGCCCGCTTAACCAGTGCATGATAGATCTCATGGATGGGAAAGGGGAAGTGAATTTGTCTTAGGAGGGGACGTATAGAAATAAATATTCTCTTACTTTGCATCCCTTCCTATGTCATTTAAATGTAGGCAACGCATCTGTGTTGGTTGCCTTTCATGGTCTGTCATGCCTATGGCCGGCGGTCGCTTCGCTATTTCGACGTATGAAAGTGGCCACTAGTCCGTTTGCCTTGTAATATAAAGAAGTAACCGAACTCGCCGTCCTTCCTTATTATGGACGCTGGTGGGTCTTGTTTTTGGCGAAAATGTAAGTACATTTTACATTGTCGCCTCCTGTATGGCCTAAATGGCTGAAGTGATCATGGCGAAGGAGAGCATTCGATTCGTATTCTTCCACGATACTCGTATCTGCAACCACGTATTATAAAGACAGATTTTTTTTAAGGATTTTCTTCCGTGTATAAAGAAAATATTTACATATACAAAATGGACTGGAATACCTGTGTATGGTGGAAAAATAGCCATTACCTGGGCTTTGGTGTTATTTATTATGTTATGTTGTTTGGAAGCAGCGGCCATTTGGAAACTGATACGCTTATTAACTGGCGTTGCTGTTTATTCTTCAGCTCATCGTAAGTTATGTATACAACTAAACTTAAGGCTTGGTAGTTATAGTTTTCAATTGTCAATGCTTTTTAAAACACTCGATTTTCAAGCACATTTTTTTTAAAACACGAGTATAACATAGTTAATTACTGGCACTTAATGGCAATGACAAATTATTACAGATCAATATAAATAATTTAACCTTTATAGGTCTGTAATCATAGGTTAATTAAAAACAGACATGTTTGTGTTATAAATTTAAACAATGAAACGTTCCAAAATATATCGTGTCAGCCAGTGACATATAAGAATAGATATTAATACTCTTTATTGTATTAAATTAAAAAGAAATTCTTTGTTGATCTTATTTTTTTTAATTTGTTGTTTAAGGAAGCTTAGTTGCCAGATTGTCGGGCTCAATATTTTATGCAAATGGCTTAATATCTTTGATTCTTACATGGAGATTCATAGGTGCTTGGGATTGTCTATCACAACATTGGTTAAGAAATGATTTGTTAACTGGTTTGAATGTAGAATCAGATAAATATATTAAAAGGAAAATCATTTTTGTTACAACGTTTGTTAGCGTATGCGCTATTGGTAAGTTAATTAAACTTTAAATATATATAAAATTAAATGTTCCATCTTACTAATATTACAAATGCGAACGTTTGGATGGTTGTTTGTTAAAAGGTAACTCCAGAACTTATGCATGGATCTCACTGAAATTTGGCATAAATGTAGAACATAGCCAGAAAAAATAGGCTTCTAATTTACTATTTTTGAATTTCACATAGACGGAGTCTGGCGACAGATACTTCTGAATAAATGAAAAAAAAAACAAAATGAATGTACTATGTGTTTTGCGACTATGTTCTATACCTGTGTTGAATTTCAATTAGATATGTCAAACCGTTGCAGAGTTATTGAGCATATATATTAATCAAACGTATCTCATGGGAACCGTAAACATTTTCCGGATCAAATGTAGCCTATGTGTTCGAGAAACGTTTCTAAAGGTGCCTAGTAATAAATAGCTACCCATACAAACATTTGCATTTATAATATTAGTATTTTTTTATTTGTTATTTGTAGTCGAACACATATTCAGTATGATAGCTGCGATCGGCTTCAATTGCAGTTCGGTTGAAGAATGTTTCCGGACGTACATTTTGATATCACACGGATTTTTATTACAAAGTTGTAAGTAACTTCTAGCAACTACAAACATTCTTTATTCGAATTTCAATAAATTATTCCACCATATTTTTTTCAGACGAATATGACTTATGGTTGGCGATTCCAATATTTATTTTAAGTAAATTGGCAACTATTTTATGGAATCTACAAGATTTGACCATAATATTGATGAGTATGGGTCTAACATCTCGATACAATATGTTAAATTTGTACACGAGAAAGTTAATTCAACGTGAATATCAGAAAAAACAAAACTATGTAAGTTAATACTCACAACAGTAATGATGACGTCACCTTAATTTAAAGCCATAATAAAATCGATTTTTTTATAACAGTACTGGCCGTTTCCTGGGGGACCGGCCGCGCCGAATTAAAAAAAAACTATATTCTATATGTATGCCAAATTTTATCGATATCCGTTTAGCCGTTCTGGAGAAACTTTCAAACATCCATCATATTAGTAAGATAATTTTCTAAAAATCTCAATAACAATAGGTCTGTTTAATTACCGTCACTAGAAGGGTTTTAAAATTATATTGAACATTGTCTACAGAGTAAACTAACGTATCTACACATCGATCAATGGCGTAAGCTCCGTCGAGCGTACGCGCGTCAGGCAAACTTAGTACGCTCTCTAGAGAGACATCTAGGACCATTAGTTCTGCTATCGAATCTGAATAATTTGTATTTCATCTGTCTACAACTTTATTTGGGTATAAGGTATCTACACTTTTATAGGTTTATCATATCCCTCCCAGTTTATTTTAGATTTGCCATAGTTTTATCGCTATATTTCTACGATATTCCTAGCCACCATTTGTACTAGACATTGGAAATTCTTAGCTGTTTACTTTTTTTTTTTTTATATCACAAGGTGGCAAACGAGCGAGCGGCCACCTGAAATCGCTGAAATAGCGAAGTGACCGTTGCCCATGGACATACGCAATTGCATATGCGTTGCCTACCTTTAATCGACGGAGGAGAGGATGCACAGAAAGAAAATATTTTCCCTTTCCATGCATCCTCTCATCCGGAAAGTCCACTTCCACTTCCCATCCTTTCCTTATAAGAAATAGGATGGGAAGGGAAAGCGGACTAATTTTGGCCTCCGGGACGCACACTCATCAGACGAAACGCGGAATTGCTTCCACTTCACGCCTGTCTTCTGTGTGGTCGTGGTATTTCACCGGGCGAGCCGGGCCGATTCGTGCGAAGATGTTAAAGCGGGCTCTACCACTGTTAAACGTACTTATTACGGAATGTAGTTACTAATATACATTATGTTGGGTGATTTTAAAGTTATCTGGTTGATTATCTTTATTTACTCTTTCCCGTAATTAATCAAGGCTTTATTACTAGTAATTCTCTTGAGTGTCTTATGTTTCAGAATAACATCAAGATCTTGGATAAGTCGAACATATTATTTGTTATCTCTGACTTGGCTTTTATCTAGAGCCTGTGGTGTTGTCTTAGCTGGTGCTGCTATTATTTTATACTCAAAAAAGTCTTTACCTGATTTAAAATCCTGCTTAAGTGCCACTTACAACATAGAGGTATTAAATTGTTCAAACTTTCGTGAGACATTATAATAAACTTATGTAAAAATGGCTAAACAATCACGCGGCACTGCCGCGTCCCCGAAACAATACCAGTCCCACTCACCCTGATGAAGGGCCCCCGATGGGCTCGAAACTAGTCGATGCCGCGACCGGACAAATATACGTGTGTGTTTAGCCGTTTTTATATAAAATTAGAGAGGTATTATTTGAAGAATTAGCACACTGAGCGCTGTTTAATAGTTACAGCAGGCCTTTAGTGTAGATTTCTCACAATCTACACTAAAAGTCTCCCATAGTGTTCATTAGTACATTTTAAGTGTTGTTAAGTAGTTTAAATAATTAGTTTGCATTACTCGATTGAAATACTTTAATTTTATAATTAAATGTTAATTGATTTCAGGTAAAAAGATTAATTACACAGTTGACTTACGATAGTGTTGGTTTAAGTGGAATGAAATTATTTACCTTGTCCAGACAAAACTTACTAGAGGTGAAAATAAATGTATAGTAATGTATAAAATGTTCTACTTGAGATTACAATATGGCTATAAAATAAATATTATTAACAGTGATGATTATTGCATTGTTTTTTTCTGTATGAATAAAAAGCTATCGACGTAGACACAATCTTACTATTGCGAATGTTTGGATGGATGGATGGTTTTTGTTTCAAGATATCTCCGGGACATTTGAATGGATCTTACTGAAATTGGGCATAGATGTAGAACATAGTCTGGAAAAACACATAGGCTTTTTTATTCCACGCGGAAGGAGGCGACAGCTAGGAAAAAATAAAAAAAAGTTTGAAATTCACACTAGTCACTATATTTCTAAAGTTTATTATTTTTTGTTTCCAGGTAGTAGCAACTGTTATCAAATACGAACTAATATTATTGCAATATGACAAGTGATACTTTTAATTTGCAAAAACATCAACATTGTGATTAAATGAAACTGAAAATTAATAAAAATCAAAATTATTATTTGTATATCCTATCCCGAATCAAATTAAAAAAAAATCTGCCTAATGAACAGTGCAGAGCTAAACTGACCAATGTTACTGGTCAATTTAAACATTGATTTTAATCGCATAAAGTAAAAGAATATTGAAGTGATATTTAATGTAAAAGTATTAAAGAAAGATGGAACTTATAAAAGCATTTCGGAATAATTAAGCTAAGACGCTTCGCTTTTATGAGTGTTTGAAAAGAAACTAAAAAGTTGCCTTGCAATTTATTCATCTCTTAAAAATATTTTTCGTTTTCTTTTATTCGTTTAATTAAATTAATGGCGTTTGATATGCCCTTGGTATAGAACTTCATCTTACTAATATTATAAATGCGAAAGATTAAATGTATGGATGGACGGATGTTTGTTAGAAGGTACGAAGGAATCTCCGGTACGACTCAACAGATCCGGATGAAATTGGGCATCGATATAGAACATATTCTGGAAGACCACTTAAGCTACTAATTAAGTTTTCTTTTAATTCCACGCAGATGCAGTGCCGGGTGAAAGCTAATATTTGAATAAAGGAGTCGCTATGATGGACACTACAACGAAGAACCTTCTTAGACCTTTCTTAGTATGTTGGCGTGGGCTTCAATCAAGATATGTTTTACGGATGTACAAGTAGAGTACAATAAGTTTTCAGTACTGAAATATGAAAAAAAAAATATTTAATTCTTTTTTAAGAAACCCAGATAACCCAGGTTCATTGCTTTTGAACACAGGCAAAAATTTTGATTAATATTGACTAATTTGTTATTCACATATTAAATATTACTGTTTTTCTTGCTATCCATAAATCACAACCGATCAAGTCTTCAGTCCCCAATCAAGTTTTATATAAAGAAAATATTCGTTTGCTTTTCAAATATTGATTCAAGACAATATTTACTTAAATTTGATGTCTATATAAAGCTGTCTGCTTAAAAAATGCTGTCATATTATTAAAAATGTTACCTACTAGTGTACGTTGGAGACATAGAAAATTAAATCGTAATTCAAAGAAAAGGAATAAATCTGAAATGAAAAAATTGAGGTTTTACGAATGTGTTAGACCTGTCCTTCTTAGTTGCAAGTTGATGGGTTTCCTTCCTTTGAATGGCCTAGTTAATACGAAACAATCAGGCAAACGGTGAAGTATAATTTATATTATTTTCTTCCTCGAATTTAATGTACAGATTGGAATATATAAAGTTATAAAATTACTACTTAGAACTTGAAAGTTTTTTAAATGCTACTGGATTATTTTCAAAGCTTAGCTATATAACTGCTATATTACGCAGTCGATATTCAAAAATATTCTATCAAAATATATTTTTAAAGATAATATTTAACTTGACTTCCAAAGTATTAATTTTTTAATTAAGTTAACTTCATTGTCACCTCATATTATGCACCCACTGGTTCAGAGCCTGTCCAAGATAGGGATGACTAGAGTTTAGTCAACCACTATTACGCGCAGTACTTTCTAATAAATTAACTCACTAACTTTGCCAAGATTACCACGAACACCAAGGTTACCAAGGTTACCAAGGTTACCGAGGGTACCAAGGTTACCAAGGTTACTTAACTTACCGAAGTCCAATTACAATAGAGTTACTATAGTGTTCATACTAATAACTTTTTCCAGGTTCAATTGGATATCCTTATATACTTGTTTCTACTTGGCTAATTTAATTTGGATGACATTCTGTTCGCTCGCCAAATGTGTTGATAAACTGGCTTTCGGATTAGGTCGGAAAGATATTTGTACGTATTTTACATATTTATGCTATATACGCTCATCTACTACGTGTCTGCTATCTTACTTTAGCTGAAAGAAATGTCTTGGAACCATACACATACTTCCAAAGGATTTTTACTGACTTTTCAAATCTGTGTCAATGTTTTTTTTAGATAAATTTGCATCATATTGTCTGTTATTAAATATGCAGCTCGTTTTTTTTTGTTTCTGTGTGACTAATATTTTTTTTTGTTAAAAAGCTGGGATTGTCTTCTCGTTGAATACACTATTTTCATCATTATTCTTAATGAAGATGACACCGAAGTGGTATGTAACATTTAAAAAGATCGAGGATTTGGAGAGATTGCTGCCAGACCCTAATACTTCCAGACCTTTGAAGATCATCAAACAAATCTTGTTTATAATTGGAGCATCCGCGTTGGGTAAGCTGACACTAAGTTATACATGTTTATTACTAGCTGTCGCTCGCGACTCCGTCCGCGCAATTTAAAAAATTCTTAATTGATAGCTTATGTGTTCTTTTAGAGTATGTTTTACATCTATGTCAGATTTCAGCGTTATTCCGGCAGCCGTCCGACCATCCATCCGTCCAAATATTCGCATTTATAAATTTAGTAAGGAAAAAAGCATCAAGTAGGGTTATTAATATCATCATATTAAAGCAAATTCTGAGAAATGTTTCAGTCAGAATTTTTTTTTTGTATAAATTGTGAAATGTAATTCAAAGATCTTCCCTTTTCCAGTTGAATTCGCAATGTATTTATTATACACGGCGTATGAAGCGAAGAACGCGTTGAAGAATACGCATGACGATTATTGTTTAAAAAAGTTCTTTGTCTTCGCCTACGATTGGTATTTTGATCATTTTCCATTCCAGTGCTTTATTGGAATAATGCTGGCAGTAAGTAATTTTAACATTATTAATAATATTGAGTTTACATATCAAATGTTTAAAACAGAATAAAGGGTGTATCCTTTTTATGCATATTCTTCTTGACTCATCAAGCCTAATCAATCCTCTACCTTAATTTAAATTCTCCTACCTTTTCCATCCTTATAACATACATTCCTCTACATCTTGGATTCATTTAAAAAAAGAATCATCATCATCATTAGCTCACTATATGTCCCCGAGGGGCTCGGAGCCTACCCTAAGTTAAGGGTGATTAGGCCATAGTCAACAAAGCTGGCCAAGTGCGGGTTGGTTGACTTCACACATATCTTATCAGAAACGTGCAGGTTTCATTACGATGTTTTCCTTCACCGTAAGAACGACGGATAAATGTACATATGTAAATCGAAAATCGAAAAACACATTGGTACATGGCGGGATTCGAACCCAGGACCTGCAGATTGTAAGTCAAGTGCTTGACCCCTGAGCCACCGACGCACTCATTCTATATTCTTCGTACTGTCATAAATTAAAACACTGATAGTTTCTCACTAGGCCTCTAAATGTCAAGCAACATGTTTAAGAAACTTAACAGATATCCTGGTTATGTCAATAACCGTATACTTGGGTGCGCGTTTCTCATGTTTCAATCGTAAGCTGCTTCAAGAGGAGAAGAAGGTAAGTTAACATACAAAATCATTCAAACAGTTGATTTCAACTCATAATTAACAATTCAATAGAAACTAAATTCGCTTGACATAGTTTTTTTATAATAAAATATGTTCAGTAAATTGAGAAACTTTTAATAGACTTTCCTCTGATCCCTTATCAGTTTTATTTTGTGGTTTAATTTTTTCCGTTCGATGTGATTCAATAACATGCTTTTAAGATGAATTCCAATGGGGTTTATTGATACCTTCCTTTATGTTGTAAAGTGTCATGATGATTGCTATAAAAGATTTTTGATAGGAAGATCTTTATAACGAAATTTAACAGCATTCTTTACCTAACATGTTTATCTAAAATTGTGATTACTTTTGTTATATAACTTACGTGGTTAAAATTTCAAAGTTCAACTATTATTATTATTAAATTATATAAAAACTAGCTGTCGCCCGCGACTCCATTCGCGCGGAATTTAAAAAATAATAATAATAAGCCTATGCTTTCTTCCACACTATATTCTTTTTATATGCCAATTTTTTTCGATATCCGATCAGCCATTCTGGAGACACCTTCAAACAAATATCGATCCATTCATCCATACATTCATTTTATTCAACATTCGCATTTCTATACTAATATTATAAAGCAGAAGAGTTTGTTTAAGCGCGCTAATATCAGGAACTACTGGTCCGATTTTAAAAATTCTTTTTGGATAGTCCATTTATAGAGGAAGGCTTTAAGCTATATAACATAACGCTGTGACCAAAGACTTTTTTTTTAATTTCGCGCGGACGAAGTCGCGGGCGACTGCTAGTATAAGTAAGAACAATTAACAAATTATCATTTTTCTTAGGCGAAATTTACTGGATTTATGCCATGGTCGGATCTACAGAAACATTATACTCAACTGACTAGTCTGACGCTGATACTGGATGAAATAATAAACCCATTCATTTTTATATCCTTTTCATGCAACCTCATATTTATTTGTAAACAGATTTTCAGCGTAATACAGTAAGTATTTTCTTTAAAGTAATTTTATGATAAAACTAGCACTCGCCCGCGTCTCCTTCCGCACGGTATACATTGTTGAATTAATTGCCTATGTATTCCAGATTATGTTCTATATCTTTGCCAAATTACAGCGAAATACATACAGCCGTACTCCATCCATCCATACATCGAAATATTCGCATTTATAATATGAGTAAGATGTTACATTTCATAAATTAACTAACAATTCCACAATCTTGACACTGTGCATTTACGTTGAGTTCTCTCAGAAAATGAGCACATAAAATTATAAACAAGACAAGATATTCATAACTGTCCCAATAGTTCACTTTTGGTTATTGGTTCAAGTTTATTCCAATACGTATAGTAAGTGAATAAATAGCATTGTAGTAACTGAATTAAGGAATAACTAATTATATATAAATTATTTACTTTTCTTTACAGATTTGTTCTGACACAGCAAGAAATGAATCTGATCACGACCAATACAGAACTAGAGTTATTAAAGCGAAAGTAAATATGTTTATTTTTAGAAGTACAATATTTTTTTTTATAATTTTAGTAATTTAAAAAGTGTATTTTTATAGGTTGGATTGGGAACCTGTAGTCTATCTCGCTTTCTCGACTGTATTTGTAATAATGCGAGCTACTATGCTATCTCTATTCTTGGCCCATCACCACACACTAACTCGCGCACCCTTGGACATACTTCATACCTTGCCAGCATCAGCTTATAACTATAAAGTAAATATTTAAATAATTTTCTACAAAAATAAATATGTCAATTGAAGAATTTTATCTAATATTTCGTTTTTTTTTTCTAGACGCAAAGATTCCTGGATCAAGTGTTTCATTCTAGGCTAGGTCTTAGTGGATTAAAGTTCTTCTACGTGACAAGAGAATCAATTTTGTCAGTAAGTTTTAAGTCACTTCTCAATCTTAATTGTCGGAAGTGAAAAGAGGGATGATAATATATGTCCTACAGTAGTTTTCAAATATTGACGGCGCTAAACTTTATTAAAAGTAGAATACAATTTTATTATACTTATAGCGGGCATTAGCAGGATGGCCGAAATATCTTGGTGGCTCGAAATTGACCTCGAGCCACCAAGATATTTGAAAAGAACTTTACATAAAACAGTTATATAAGACGATTGATTAATGTTAACATTTTTTTTTCAGGTAGTTGCTACATTAATCAAATATGAGCTTGTTCTTCTCCAATTTCCTGAACGCGAATAAAACGTTTACATCGTTTGTCTCTCCTGTTTGGACGGATGAAATAAAAGCTAATAAAAAGTATGAAACATTGTTTTTTTAGGGTTCCGTACCTCATAGGAATAAAACGAAACCCTTCTTTCACTTTGTTGTCCGTCCGTCTGTTTGTCAATATCCTTTTTCTCAAAAACACGTGAAGGTATCAAGCTGGAATTTATATCAAATACTCAGGTCTGCGGTCCCTTGGTGCAGTGAAAAAATAAAACTTCCAAACATACGTAATCAAAAGATACAACCGTTTATGTCGCAAATTTACGCAAATTTTCGAAATTCGCAAGGGAATCAAAACCTACAGGGTACTTCCCGTGAACTTAGAAACTTGTAATTTGGCACTAAGCAACGTCGTAAATGTTTAGTTCCATCAAAAAAAAATCAAATTTAATCTAAATCCCGTTGTCTGAAAAATACATAAATTGTCACGTCAGTAAAACTATATTTATTATTTTAGAAATATTGATTCTCAGTGTACGAAATATTGTCGTGCATATTTCGCAAAACGATCAAAACAAGCGTTATTTCTCTTTTATTGACATGGAATTAATACTGTTCACTGTTCAATTTATATTTCCAGTTTTGAAATGAATATTTTTATATTTACATTCCTTGTAACGTATGTGATTTGCATAGATCGTGATGTTTATGACTACGCTAATTCAGATTTTCTGGTTGGTAATGTTAAAAAGAGAGACACGATTCCTTTTCGTGTAAATAATTTAAGATGGTTTAATGAAAATAGCTTAAACTATAGAAAAACGAAGGAAATAAGGGAAAATGAAGTCGATCGACGTTTTGAGGTAATGTATATCTTAAAGTAAAATATTAGTTATCAACTGTGATTATTAAAAAACTCCAGAATCATTTTTGTTTCTTGCTATTTTTAAGATAATTTGTGAGAGGAAAATCTAATAAACATTTTCCCACCTATCCACGAAACAAAAGATATAGTGTTCGCAAATAATTAACTCACAAAATATTATATTAATAAAACTAACTGTCGCCCGCGACTTCGTCCGCGCGGGATTAAAAATGGTGGCCGATTTTCAGACCTACTCAATAAGCTCACAAAATTTCATAAGAATCGGTCAAGCCGTTTCGGAGGAGTATGGTAACGAAAATTGTGACACGACAATTATATATATATATATATATATGAGATATAGACAAACAATAAGACTAATCACTTTTTTAGATATCAGAAGCGATGCTGAAGGAAGCCCAACGTGAAGCCCAAATGAGAAATAATCAAATAAATGATGTTAGAGAGGAAGAAATAGATTACGCGCAACTATTAGGAGATAAATATAGAAATGAAATTCAAGGAAAAGACGACAGTTGGAGAGTCCACGAAATGAGAGATAATCAGTTAGGCCCAAATAATAACAGATGGCGCAATAAAATAAGGATGCAACGTAGATTATTTAGATAGTGCAATATATATGGTAATGAAGTATTTAATAACAATAGAAAAATCATTATTTAAAATAAATTGTATGTACAGTTATGTGTCTTACTAAAACTACGTACCTTAAAATATCACAGTACTGAAAGCTTGTTGGAAATTGTTAGTCTTATTTTTAACTCAAATATTTAAGCTTTGGCAAAAATTCAAGCCTTACTAAGGGCCATCTGTTTTATTATTATTAAAAAAAAGTGTTGGCAGAGTTAGTTACCAATTAAAGTCATTGCATTTTCCGGAATTTCGCTTTAAAAAAATAGCACCAGATTGTATCCATTTTATATGAGTGTGCGAATAATTCAGTTGTAATTATTTCTTGACGATTAACAATAATTTATGTTTACATGTTTAACTCAAATCAATTACAGTTTTAATTAAAATTTTATTTAATCTCATCATAAAAAATCGGTTTGCAAAATCATGTGATTTCTATCGAAATGCACGTTTTAGTAATATCAATTATTTTGGTTTGCGTATCAAGCTTAGAAAACATAGAATATGGTATCGTTCCTGAGGGTATTATCGTTGCTAACATTAAGAAAAGAGATATAATACCCCTGCAACCAGGAAACAGAAGATTACTAGATAATAAGAATTTAAATTACAGAAGAACAAAAGACATTAGGGAGACGTCTGTAGATCGACATTTTGAGGTATCTACCAACAATGTTTATCTTACTAATATTAAAACGGATGAATGGATGTTTGTTTGAAGGTATCTCCAAAATGGCTAAACGATTATGGATTAAATTTGGCATACATATAGAACATAGCCTGGAAAATTTTTTAAGTTACTTATTATGTCATTTTTTAATTCCACGCTAACGGAGTTGCGGGCGACAGCTAGTTATACAATAAAAATTCCTTTAGAAAACGCTCCAGTTGATAGATTGCTTTTGATTGGTTCAAAATAAAAATCATTACATGTTTAAGTTCCTGTCAAAATTGAAAATACGCCTTGTGTTACATTTTGTATATGTCTTCTAAGCATCCGATTGGCAAACATTATATTTCAGATAACAGAAGCACTGTTAAGAGAAGCTCAAAGAGAAGGGCAGCTAAGTAGTGCTCAAGCTGATGATATGAGAGAAGACGAAATAAAAATTGCTCAACGACCAGTTGAAGAAATAAGAACTGAGACAAGAGAGGGAGTAAAAGATGAAGCAAGAGATGACGTAAGAGACGAAAATATAAGAGATGATGTAAGGGATGGTGTAAGAGATGATAGTATAAAAGATGATATTAAAGATAATATAAGAGACGATGTAAGAGTCGAAGCCAAAGTTGAGACAGAAGCAATAATTAATAGAGAGTCATACCCTTTTGAAAATGATGACATGGTCGGTAGTGAATTTCTAAGAAACGATAATAAGAAAACTCATAGAAATGACGACGATAACGAAAACAAAGATAAAGTACAACGTCAATTTTCTTGGCTAACGATAGAGAATGACGATGGAGGTGCAATAGACATTTAAAAACGCTTTTAATTTATCAGATTTTTTTGTAATTTTAATATTTATATTTATACAAATTATTATGCCACAAAACCCTCGAACAACATGTGTTTCTTTTTAAAAACAAAAAATCCTAAAGCTGACCCTCAATCCCACTAATTCCAAAACCTTCTGATTCTATAGACCTTTAGGTCTATTTATTCTTATAGTTTTTAATGATTTAAAATGATCAATTCTTGGCGACAATTTTCTCTATTAATATTGGCGAGCGGGGACCAGTGTAGAAGTTGCATTATCGATAAATGAACCGCTCTGATCTTGCGGTGAACTATTGAACTGAAACAAAACTAGCTCGTATGTAACTATTGTTCCCGCTACCTGAAAAATACAAAAAAACTATAAGGAAAAATGTACGAAGAACCAGATCTAGTAGATAAAGAATTTACGCGGTTAACTGATGACCGACTCTTTAACATCACTTATCTATATTTAACATCTTACCGTCAACAACAAGCTTCGAGTGACGCTAAAAAATTGAAGTCCACTTAACGCTACTTTATCTCCGTGGATCTGTTCTAAAAATCTCTGAACCTGAAACATGTGATATAACAGATGTTAATATGAGAGTCTTCAAGTCTGTACTGGTCTACTGTAATCACTCATATCGTAGATGGTTAGCACTATGAAAATATTCATACCAGCTGTCGCTTGTGACTCCGTCCGCGTGTAATTATAAACAAACTTAATAAGTAGCCTATCTGTTCGTCCACGCTATGACCTACATCTATGCCAAATTTCAGGAACATCCAAGCAACCTTTGTAGAGATACTTTCAAACAAACATCCGTCCATAGTAAGATGTTATGTTATTGTCTATGATACGTGGGTTGCGCGACGTAAAATTGACCATGTATACTTTGAAGTTTCTGAACATTTTATCACTTGTAAAGTTTTTTTTATATCTATAGGTAATCGACCTCTCACCTCGATACAATACACAGGTGATGGGACATCGTATAAAACTGGCGCTGGCACTGTCGATGCCGTGTTAACTTGCGATGCAATAAGCGATACCGCCACCGAACGTGTAATCAAGTAAACCAATGAAAATAGAAAATACACTGCCGCTTCGTAACCGCCCAGAAAAGTTGCTCTGTGTAAAAAATATAACATCGTAAATACAGTAAAATAATAAAATCTATCATAAAATACTAAAAAAGGCGAGCACTGACAATGCGTTCTAAAATTACATTCCTGATACTTGTAGTATAATTTTAAATATATGATTTGAGTGTAAAATGAATTTTCTACCAAAATTGCACGACTGTCCGCGTCATCGATATCGAATATTCTCTCATAAGGCGATCTCTCGTAGAAATTTACTGCAGTATAACATCGCATAATCACGATATATCTTATTAATTATAATAAAACTCACTTTTTGACACGGCTGGAACATTCACCGGTACCCTTGATACCATCTCTATAATTAGAAACATAAACGTAAAAAATTGGCAAAATATTTATATCATCATCAGCTAACTATACGTCCCCACTGAGGCGCTCGGAGCCTACCCTAAGTTAGGGGTGATTAGGCCATAGTCAACGACCCTGGCCAAGTGCGGGTTGGTTGACCTCACACATATCTTTGAATTTTCTTCTCAGATATGTGCAGGTTGCATCACGATGTTTTCCTTCACCGTAAGAACGTCGGATAAATGTACATATGTAAATCGGAAATCGAAAAACACATTGGTACATGGCGGGATTCGAATCCAGAACCTGCAGATTGCAAGTCAAGTGCTGGACCCCTGAGCCACCGACGCTCTTTTTTTTTCATTTACGAACATAATATATTTAAAAACAAAAAATGCATCAACAGACTAAAAAATAGCTCACTCCAAAGTGTTAAAGAGCTGCAGACAAATAAAGAACAGGTTGTTAGCAAAGGAAATGAAGACAATTCCACTGATTACGTCGTCGACTCTTCGAACCAACTGCGTCGCCCGACCGTAATTTTCGCGAGTACTTCTCCAGAATAACTCAGGCAAATACTGAAATGGAAAATAATATGCATTCGGTATATCTAGATTCAATCTTAAGCAAATAGATTGAATATTTTGTAGAAATAGGAATATATAACAATTTAAAACAAAAACGTTCGAAGTCGTTATTACAAGAATTAATACATCTGATGCAATAGTGGTAACATCCTACAATTAATTTCTAAACATAATTATATTTTTATTAATTCATATCATGAATGAAAGAAATGGAGATAAGTATGATGAAATTCAAGATAATTATATCGATAGCCCAAGAAAGTAAGCACAAGAGTATAAGATGAAGGAGTTACTAAGGGCTTGAGAAGTGTGAATTCGTTACTTATAATAATTGTCTCATAAAAATATCTATGTACCTTTCCTTGTGCGGCTAATAGCTTCTTGTTGACATGTTCCAAGCGAGATGTTAAATAGTAACTCATACAAATCACAAAGAGATCAGAAAAATTCCAGATGAACGTAGATTGGAAATGAAGGAACTGTAATATGTAAAAACTATCAAAGAATAAATGAAAATGGTATATTGATTAATTCGTTTTAGTAATACAGCGTGTGAACTTAATAGTTGAGTTTTTAATACTGGTAGAGTTATCTCATGAAAATACACCGTTGTCAAAACTGATATATAAACACGGCTAAACACCGGCTAGTTTCGAGCCCATCGGGGGCCCTTCATTAGGATGAGTGGTACTGGTATTATTTCGCGGACGCGGCCCATCGCTCGCTCACGCTGAGTCGAGCTCGAAACTAGTCGGTGCCGCCACCGGACGAATATACGTGAGTGTTTAGCCGTGTTTATATATCAGTTTAGTATAATGTCTCAAGAAAGTTTGAATAATTTACACCGTTGTCTTTTTACTTTCAGCCCAAAGTAATTGACATACACATACCTGAGTTAACATTCCCAAAAATGGTGTATATGGTATAAAATTAAATACCCACGGATAGAAATGTTCTACAAAACCTTCGTAGATAGGTTTCTTCGGATAACACGTCATGGCACCGGCAAACGCAGATAGTAGAGACAGTATGTGCTCAACTGAAAGATAATTTTTATGAAATTAGTTTCGAGTTTAGTTCAGTAATTTAAATTAACAATATTATTATAAAGCTACTAATATAACGAACGAGAGCGTCGGTGGCTCAGGGGTCAAGAACTTGACTTGCAATCTTCAGGTCCTGGGTTCGAATCCCGCTATGTACCAATGTGTTTTTCGATTACCGATTTAGATATGTACATTTATCCGACGTTCTTACAGTGAAGAAAAACATCGTCATGCAACCTGCACATATCAGAGAAGAAATTCAAAGATATGTGTGAAGTCAACCAACCCGCACTAGGCTAGCGTGGTTGACTATGGCCTAATCACCCTTAACTTAGGCTAGGCTCCGAGTCCCAGTGAGCTGATGATGATGAATATAACGAATTATCTGGAGGGGGGATACTGGTGCACCTACCCCACATAAAGTGGGATAAGGCCATGATGATAGTAAGTTGTGTTAATTGTTTTTTCTATTATTAATTTAATTTAATTATTAATTTAATATAATCGTACCTAATGCCAAAAATAAAACTACACCGCATGTTATATTACATCTATATGTTACTGCATGATTATAACTCGGATCCAACTCTTCGACATGCGACACGTCGCGAACGAGCTTAGGCCAGTTCCTGGCCACGCGGAAAAACATTGTCATTGTTATGCAGGTTGTGCTGTAGAATATTATTGGAGCTGAAAAAAATATTTTCCAATGACACATAATGATCAAGAAAAAATAATTATTAAAAGCAAAATATCTGGTCACCCTAACAGGTAAAAATAGAACACAAAAATGAGTTAAATATAAACCAATCTACAATTTAAATTACTGTGATGATCGACTGTCTACTCGTATAACGCTTGTGTTAAAGCACACTATTGTCTACATTTTTTTTAATTCATTTTGAGACATTAAAATATTTTTATACAAGTTTGTCGACAGTGGAAACACACCCTTATAAATAGAAGAATACCTTACTTGTAACATTGAGCGTTACAGTAGAATTTGCAACTTTCAAGATACACATTATAGTAATGAAAATTTGTCCAGTTAGTGACAGAAATGAATAGACACACTTCCATGATGTCCAGTTGAATCTGTAAGAGTAAAAAAGCTGATTTAATGCCTGTTTCCACTTAGCGGGAAACCTCACGAGTGAAGCCGTAATTTTTACTGTAGTCGTGGTCGCACCAATGAAAGTAACATAAGGAATTCATCTCCCAATAAAAGTACGAAGTTTAATTTAAGCTGAAATGAGTATTAAAAGACATGTTTTTAAAATTAGCTTAACATTTGACTGCAAATGCAATTTGTGATCAACGAGTTTTTTTTATAACAGAAGGGGGTAAACGAGCAGCGGGAACACCGAGGTGTCCAACGACGCGCATGGACATCAGCAATACCAGAGGAACCGCAGTTGCGTTGCTGGCCTTTGAGATGGTGATAAGCTTGCTTCTTTAAGCTAATTTTAGAAACAGTTTGTAGTAATCGTTACATTAATGATCCTACAATTCTTTTTAAATAAAAAAAAATCGACTTACCTAACATTAGACGCAGTTTTACTGAAGATGCCATTGACTGGAAGCAACGAGAACGTCTGTCCGATAAACAAAGTTGCTCGCAGTGATTCTTGGAATGTTGCAGGATACTTTCTTGTACTGATATCAGCGACATTAACTTTGTTTTCTACAATTCAAAGCAAAAGGTAAATATAAAAAATCTAACTCTAAGTTTTAATGATTAGCTATTTTGTACAGATTATATTATGATATTTTCGCCAATTTTTCAATAGATATTTATTACAAAAGGAAACGTAATTTGATAGATGTTGTCGGACCACTTTTATTACATACAAAAATTCCTAAACTACTTACTTCTGATTGGAATCCAAAGAGATTGATTCTTATTCTTGTAGATGTTTTTCCTCATTTCTTGATTTTCTAAAATTTCAATCGCAGTATCAGTTCCGTTAATAAGAATCATTTAAGTGTAGTTAGTACACAAGAGATTTTTGTTCGCTCCGAAAATTACATAAAAATCAACAATCAACTCTTTCGATCCCTTAAAAAAAAACAGAACATATAACAAACAGTGCTATTAGTAAAGCTCTTGCAAATATAAAAGATGTTTTCGGTAAACTTGCTAATACAACTACTATTATAAAAATTACTTTTTGTTAATTAAAGTTAAAATGTAAATGTTTTATAACTAAAAACATGCTGTATAACCACTAAGGCGCCTTAAATCCAACTAATAGTAGTAAGAAAGGATAGGCAATTTGTTTACTTTATTAACTAAAAGTGGTGGACAGCAATTCTTGGGAGGTATAAAACGGAAAATAAAACAATACAAATTAAGGGTCGCGTGAGAACACCCTATGATTACTGCGCCGACAAAATTGGAAGCAGATTTTTATCACGTATCGATCATTTTGTTTACAACACTCATTCTTGTAAACGATAATGGCCGTGATAATTTTATTTCATTTAAATGATACTTTATGATAGAAATTTCTATAATTTACTGAGTTTACAACCTAATTATTTTATGTGGCGACAATGTCAATTAGTATTTAACAGTGGTACAGCCCGCTTTAACATCTTCGCACGAATTAGCCAGGCTCGCCCGGTGAAATACCACGACCACACAGAAGACAGGCGTGAAGTGGAAGCAATTCCGCGTTTCGTCTGATGAGTGTGCGTCCCGGAGGCCAAAAATTTAGCCCTATTTCCCTTTTCACCCTTTTTCTCATAAGGAAAGGATGGGAAGTGGAAGTGGAATTTCCGAATGAGAGGATGCATGGAAGGGGAAAATATTATCTTTCTGTGCATCCTCTCCTCCGTCGATTAAAGGTAGGCAACGCATATGCAATTGCGTATGTCTATGGGAAACGATCACTTCCTATTTCAGCGATTTCAAGTGGCCGCTCGCTCGTTTGCAACCTTATGATATAAAAAAAAAGTATAAATAGCAATAAAGAAGTTAAGCCAGTTATGATATTGTGATGCAGCCGATGATAAGTTATTGTATTCCTGTAAGCGTCAATAGCCTAATGGTTAACGGTACAGATTTCCGACCACGAGGTCGGGGGTTCGAATCCCGTCATTCGACTATTGTCGTAAACCATATCCTAGCACAAGCCTAGAGCTTAGTTGGAATGGTTAAAGAAATATTAGTAAATTTACAAAAAAATCTGCTAATATTTTTTCCTAAAAAAAAAGGCAATTATTTCATAACTTTGTGTTCAAGACAATGATGGCTTTGTGGTGAAGCCAATGGTAAATTAGTCGTAACAAATTAGGAGCTAAACAAAAGAAAGACTTACGAAAAAATTAAGTAGTAATAAAAAGATATCCTAATTTAATAATCAATTTGAAATATGTATTTGTTCGAACGTTTTTGTAACAAATATTAATGAGTTAGGGGCAACAAAAATGATTCTAATAAATGTCGCTTGTGATGGTAATTTATGACTTGTCCGGCTTTTGTTTATTGAAAACCACCTTACTTCCTTGTCGCTAATGGAATAGTAAGTGATTATTCAAATTAAGTCAATCCATGTTATAAATGTATTTCATAAAAGGGGTGAAGAAATAAACGTTGCAATGAATTAATTCTTACTAATATTATAATTGCACATGTTTAAATGGATGGATGATTTGAAGGTATCTTCAGAACGGATGCATGGATCTTGCTGAAATTTTGGCATAGATGTAGAAGATAGTCTGGAAGACTTAAGCTACTATTTTTTATTTTTACGTGCGGACGGAGTCGGTGGCGACAGCTAACTTATTAATAACGCTTACCTTAAAAATGTGTAATATTAAATTTACTATACAGTCTTGTTCGTCATTCCGTTAATCGTGTTTTCACTATTTTACATATTTTTTTATATTTGAATTTATTTATTTCTTTTTTAAATAAACACACTATTATACACAATATGACGTGTTATAACCACATAAACGTTTAGAAATACTACATTTAGCGGACGAGTGCTTGTTTACATTGTAAATATAAACATCGCTGACACTAACTGCGTAACCATCGGTTTGTCAGTAAAAAAATAAATCATAGAAATAGGTTAAAGGTGACTTTAACTGTGTATTTAGCTTTCACTTAATATAATTTACGATTTAACAAACAAAAACAAATGCTTTTCAATGGAAGGTAACAAATAACTAAACTCTATCTTTATGTATCTTTCTTAGGTCCTAATCTACTTTACTCTCTTTCCTTCATTTTACGTACTGTTTCTTTACTAAATGCATAGAAATTATGAGTGTCTCTGACGATTCGCATAAGTTTACTAATGTTTTGTACGTTTAATATATATTTTTTGTAATGTTATATAAGTTTAAGTAAATTAATTAACCTAAGTATATTGAAACGCTACTCATAGACAAAAATCACGGGCACAGCTAGTATCAATGCAAAATAAGCATTAGAAATTTGTTAAGTATACAAAATATAAAATAGGTAAATATTTTCTTGTTACATTTGTACGTGATCTACTTTGTATATTTTTTATCATTTCAATAATAGAAGCAAAGGTCCTTTCTTAGAAATGTTGGTTTCGTTCCTACAGTAGTAATTTGAACCTGTTTTTCCAAATTGCTTAGGGTTCAGTAGTGACATTTACCAAATTGCTCCTATTTACGAGAGAGCAAGCGTTTGATGCTTCCTTTACATGATTTAGTAACTTGAATGATGTAATGTATTTATTATCCTAAAGAAATTTCATCAATATTGAATTTTCTTATTAAGAAAAGAATGAGAGATATTCATAAACTTAAATATGAAACTGTATGTTTCTTTTTGTAAAGAATAGAAAACAATGAAATGAACACGTTATTATTTTTTTTTGTTTTATTTATAGGATTTAACACTTAAAGTACTAAATTATAAAAATTAGTAGTGTTTTCGTTTTTCAACTTATCATTTTAACAGCGACTCATCTTAAATTTGTTGTATACCTTTTTACAAAACGCGTTGACTTTAAGTTATTTTTTTTTTAAACTAAGCCTGCACGTAATTCAAAAGGTCCGTTTACCGCCAACTCTGCAAACACGTCCAAGATTAATTACCTGACGACTTCCACCTCATTATCATCGCTTACGACGTTATTACGTTTTTTATATACTTACGTACAAACAAACATAAATTATTACAATTACTAAGAAGTGAAGTCTGTAGTAAATCAAAACATTTTCTGCTTTATATTTAATCTAAAAAAAAAAATAGGTCGATTGAGTTCTCTTTTGTATCTTTGAAATTGAAGAGCACTTTCATATTGCAATAGAAAATTTTTTGAATTAATATACGAAGAATAAAAAGAAGCATCAAACCATGGTGTCCAGGTTTTTAAATTGTAGATATTTCCATGGTCACTGGGTTAGCACAGAATAGCAAAAGTCAAGTTCGCCTGAGAATTATTTTTAAAGTATCTTACTAATACAGTGCAACCTCAATATAACGTACCTCGATATAACGACTTCCTCGATTTAACAAATTTTTCGTAATCCCCTTGAATTGTCCATAAGAGTCAATATAAAATATACCTCTACATTGCGAACATTTTTTGCGAACAACCTCTTTATAACGAATTTTCAACCATCGAGAAAAAGTATAAATACCTCTATTTAACGAATTTTGTCAACCCAAAACCTCTATATAAAGTTAAAATGAACAAAATTGAGATTAAGCTACTACATATGTATAACCACATTTTTGATTCTTTACCCTTAATTCGTGAGTTTTGTTGTACGAATCTTTGAAATTAACTACATAATGTTTGCACCCACAAAGATATGTACCTACAAAAAAATTTTGTTACTTGCCTAATTGTTTTTAAATAGAAAACACATACAGTAATTTGATAAAAAAGAGTTATCATTTATTAGTAGAAGTTGTTCGCTATAACAAGATGCGTACGTAATGTTGAGGTGAATAAAACTATTTTTTTACCTATTTATAACGAATTTTAGACCATCCTAACCTTAACATAACGAACCTCAGTTTAACGAATTACTCGATATAACGAATATTTACTTGTTCCCCTCCGATTCGTTATATTGAGGTTGCACTGTATTACGTATGGATGTATGTCCGTTTGTTAGAAGGTATCTCTTCTGTATGAAAATAATATAGTCTGGAAGAACACATGGACTGTTGATTGAGGTTTTATTTTAATTTCGCGGGTGCGGACTCGCGTGCGACAGCTAGTTTATAGATAAAGGAGATACCATAAAATATAGAATAAAACATGAATTCTTCTATGTCCAAGCTATAAGAATAGAAGTAGTGGAATTTCTTATGAATCCATCAAATAACTTCTACGGAGTTTTTATTAAAAGCATTCTTGCATTTTATTAAACATCATAAAACTTTCATTTTTATATCAATAATGCGATAAATTTTACGAGCCACACCAATCGTAAACTGAAGAAATCGAGAATTGATTTTACGACGGTCGCCGCGTAATTTTGTTAAGTGTTTTATTTTTCGAAATAACAGCCAGTATTCCATTGTTATGTTTGATCATAAACTATTTTTTAATTATTTATAAACATTTTATTACTTTAAGAGTGTGGTTCAAAAAGGATACCGATCCATTCCCTCGCTTTCAAAATTCTGTAATTTCTTAACAATCTATCAGAATAAAAATAACGAATGGAATATTGTAAGTTAGCGCCATCTATTGTTTGACTTAAAAAAAAGGAAGCAAAAAGACAACAAACTAAACTGAGAGATATTTTATGTTTTGCAGGAAAGATGGCAATTCTCTAAGGCAAATATCTACTAAGCTTTGACGGTCTTGTAAGGCTATTTAAATTAACAGCTGAACTTGAAAATCATTGTTAAGCCAGTATAAGCCCTTCTAAAGTGAAAATTATCAATTTAATTAGATATATAATTTTATCAGCACTTTATAATGTGTAAATGTTACTTATTGAATAACTTACATGTAAAATGTGCTTCATCATCAGCTCAATATACGTCCCTACTCAGGGTCTCGGAACCTGCAGACGGAGCCGCGGACGAGAGCGAAAGCGTGCCCGTGGTCCCGTCCAGGTGCGTTGGAGGAACAGAGGGGTTTAGTGGTTATGCCTCCGCTATGGAAGAGAATCCCACATAACTACCGCGTCCCCCCGGGGCGCGGTAGTTATGTGGGATAAAAATGCATAAAGCATTCCCCTCTTTAAAAAAAAGGGTCTCGGAACCTACCCTATGTTAGGGGTGGGGTTTAAACAATTTATTATTAGACAGGGTTAATTTATTTACATACATTTTATAGTTATACTGAGTACATTAAAATATAATTATCTATCACAATAATTACGCGTCTTTTGATAACACATTCAATAAAAACTCCTTATATTCTTCTCCTTTGATGGAATATATTACCCTGACGTTTGCATCTTCCTTCGAAACGAAATGATTAGTATTTATTCCTCTTTGTTTACCTGAAAAGGTACAAAAAAAAACAAATCTCAATACCCTAATACTAGAAGCAAACTAACAATAATATGAAAAATACAAAATCTTTTCCTTATGAGAAATAGGGTTTGAAGGGAAAGAAAACTTTTCGAATGAGAGGATGCATGGGAAGGGAAAAATTTTTTCTTTCTGTGCATCCTCTCCTCCATCGATTAAAGGTAGGCAACGCATATGCAATTGCGTATGTCTATGGGCAACAGTATCTTCGCTATTTTAGCGATTTCAGGTGGCCGCTCGCACGTTTGCCACCTTATGACATATAAAAAAAATGAACGTTATAGCACAAAGTTTTAAAATAAGTTTAAAACGTTAGAAGACTTACCGCAAGTAATAATACCATTCTTTGAATATTTGTATTCATCAACTAAATCTTCTTTCAGTATCACCGCAACAGCCGCCGGATCCAATGCCTGCCACTCCTCATTTTTATCAATGGCAATTTTTTCAAATAGATTTTGCGCACGTATTATATCTGTGCTAATTTTACCCAAGGATTCAAGTCTCCAATTCTATAAAAATATATGAAATTAAAGTCAATTGCAGGCCCTTAATCTTACTATCTTACTTAATATTATAAGTTTATCTTCAGAACGGCTGAACGGATCTTGATGAAATTTTACTTACACTTAGAACATAGTCAGGTAGAGTACATAGGCTACTAATTATGTTTTTTTTTTAATTCCGCTCGAACGGAGTTGTGAGCGACTATGGTAAGTTTAGTACACGTGATAAAGTCTGAGAGGTTCTTTATACTGTCGATATATTTTTCTAAACGTGTATTATGGTTATAAAAATAAAATTGAACTAACTCGTGTGAAGTTTAGGCAACTTTTCACTTGCGAGAACGGAAATATAGTCACTTTATCAGGGGTCGCGTACTGTGTGACAATATGGTACGCTTCTATATCCATACTTGCGTTGAATTCTGGGTCAGGATTCTCTTCATCTGAAAATAATTTACAATTCTAAAGGTGCCTACACACCATCAGTTTTAAGTACAATTTTAATTGTACAGTCAAACTGTACAATTAAAATACAACGTGTGTAGTGGGCTTAAAGGTCTACATCATGTAATTATTTGAAAACTAAAATATGTTAGTTCAGGCTGCCAATTATGGTAGCATTTTGGGGATTATCTAAAAAACAAATTAGTCTTATTCTTCTTCTATTCTGTACTAACTACTTAAAGTTTGACAAAAGATCTTTTCAGTCGTCGAATGTTTTGGGATCTCATATCAATATGAAAGAAACACTTTGACAAAGAAACTTACTTTGTATATGGCCGGCTGCGACGTACAATTGTTTTAATCGTCTCAAGAAATCAGGATCCAATTTGATTGCTAGTGCCACATTGGTTAAAGTTCCTAATGTTACTACTATCAAATTACCTGGAAAAAACAAGTTTAGGAGAATAAGTTATACCATATAATATCATTTTATGCTTTCGTCTATAAGTAGGTTTTATATATCATATTCTTAATTATATCCAGTAAAAGTCAGTTCTGTTTCTTGTTTAAGGCCAAAACACTTGTACGGTCACTTGCATAAATACGTATACAATAGCTAGCGCCTGCGACTACATCCGCGCGGAATTAAAAAAAATAACTATACCATATGCATCTATACCAAATTTCATGAAGAACCGCTGGCCCGTACTAGAGATACCATCTAACAAACATCCATCCATATATCCAAACATTCGCATTTATAATATAAGTAAGATTTATAAATATCTAGAAACATGTATACGTATTCGGCTTCACCGGACCTTGAATACAAGCTTTGACCCACGTCCCTACATGATTTTAACACCGAAGGCCAGTATGAGTTACTATAGTGGTGTTTATCTCTTACCGCCTCAGATATCCTTTTTTAACTATATTTACCTTCATGAATCTTTGATTGTTCAATAAGTGCTATGACAGCGTTTTGCTCATTCAGTGGTGCTAAATCCGACATATACAGTCCACAGTCTCCTAAACCATCTTTCCCATAATAGTCAGTAACTGAAGGTGTCACCACAAGAGATCCTTGGGATCCTCTGTAAATCGGAACCTGTCGAAAATGTTTTTGAACACAACATTAAAGTATGTTTTAGTTTAGAGAACCTGCATTTGCAAGTATCAAGTACATAAAAAAGTATCAAACTGAATTAATGTAATTCACCGCAATATTAAATGTTTTTATGAATATTGTAAAAAGTCTCAAGAAAGCAAGCTCTTTTTTCCTCTAAATTGTAATACTTCACTTACATCTTCTCTTTTTGCGGCTTTTAGTATTCTTTGATTATTTCTACAAACATTATCCAAATTTGTATTTCCATTGCCAGTTGTTAAGCCGATTAGCTTTGGCCTGAAATATAATAATTTCAAGTGTAACTAAACATGAAACTTACTGTTTGAAAATTTCCATACATGGTTAAACTGAAATGATTTGTTCTTTCTACTACCAATGTTACGCGTGTTTGTATAGATTATGTAGGTCTGTTCACCAGTCTGATGTTCATGTATTATATTATATATAGATTTCTAATAAGATTTAAAACTTACCCGTCAAAATATTTTTCGTATAGTATGGCAAGGAATATAGCCATCGCGTCATCTCCACCGGCGTCATTGTCTATGATTATCTTCGGTTTCGATCTTTCTCTGAAATCACAAAGGCCAAAAATTATTATTAATAATGTATTGTTTCGTTTCATTTTCTTGTATCAAAATAACACTCGCAAAATTCTCTATAAAATAGATGCATCAACGAATTTATTAAACGTAATTATACTCAGACAGAAAAGCAGACAAAGACGAGTCCAACTAAAATGAACTTTTTCAAAAATATTGTGAAACGTTAGATCTATCGAACTCTACAAAAACAATAATACACTCACCTAACTGCAAATACGTTTGTCATAAATAAAAACACACACACAAATGTTTTCATATTATTGACACAATTTCTGTTATCACTAATAACTAGCAATCGCCACTTCCACTATTAGACGCTACGATGCGTATACTAAATAACGAACTAAACTATCTATTCATTTGGTTTCCACCGCATCTGGTTTTGTGGAGTATTTAGTTTCAGCCAGTTACTTGCAAGCTACTAGTTGCTATCTACTATCTAAACGTTTTTAATTTCAATACTTCTAACTGTTTTTAAATTTTATAAATCATTTTTCTGTTTTATACCATCTGATCTTGTAATGTGGAATTGTCGACCTCTAGCAAGGTAAACAGCAGTTGTGCATTTATAATCTTTCATATCGACTGTTTGATATTGTAATAAAATTGACGTAGTATAAAATTAAATCTTTAATCACAATCACGTTAAGCGTCTAAACACAGATGGATATTTTAAGTACATGAAACAATCAGAAAAGTAACAGTGGTCGAGCCCGATTTAACATATTCGCACGAATTGGCTCGGCTCGTCCGGTAAACGACCACACAAAACACAGGCGTGAAGTGGAAGCTATTCCGCGTTTCGTCTGATGAGTATGCGTCCCGGAGGCCTAATTTAGTCCTTTTCCCTTCTCACCCTTTTTCTTATAAGGAAAGGATGGGAAGTGGAAGTGGACTTTTCGGATTAGAGGATGCATGGAAAGGGAAAATATTTTCTTTCTGTGCATCCTCTCCTCTGTCGATCAAACGTAGGCAACGCATATGCAATTGCGTATGTCTATGGGAAACGGTCACTTTGCTATTTCAGCGATTTCAGGTGGCCGCTCGCTCGTTTGCCACCTTATTAAATTAAAACAAGTATACTATATACATTAGGTAATTTTACTTGTATATAATTTAATTAAATAAAACAAATGAAAAAACTAAACAATACTTACTTGGGGGAAGACATAGTCAAACGATTTTTATTTATTATTCAAATGCACAACTCAACAATTGAGCGCTCTCTGCTCCGAATGAAGTCGGAACGCAATGTAAATTTGCATATTTGATAAAAGCATTTACTTGAGTCATTGTTGCCAACGCACGTGTTTGAAATAGAATACACAAAGCGTCCGTACACAAAGTAATTATGAAGACACAATGAATTTGTATCATAAATACGGCATGGCATGCATACTCAAGTAATTTTTCGACTATTTTCTACTAAAAAACAATATATCAAATTTTCTAATTCATTGATTTAAACAAGGGTGCTCGTTTCAATGAGTTCGCAGAGAGATAAAGGGGAGGCAGACATAAACAAAGATTGTAAAGAGACATAATTTTAACCGTCATAAGTCTTGCCTGGAGCAAATAGTAAGCAACTTCCTTAATTTCGAACATCAGTGACATCTAAGATACGCAAATTTTGTTAGAACCTTGAGATATATTTTGTTAGAGCTATTGATTCACTTATTAAAATTTATATATTATTTTTGCTTACTGTAACATTATAATCTATTCTACGCAAGAATGAAACACTACAAGTGTGAAGAAAGCATCATTGTTATGTAATTTATCTCTCTGCAGCGATAACACGTTATCGTATTGTGTAAGATAAATGGTTCATCTAATGCTTAGCGACATTTATTAAATATCATTTTAAATTTTTTACGCTCATGTTATACGATAAGAAGCAACAGAAAAGACGGCATTGTACTCAAAAATCGAAATGCATTTTTAAGTAAACTTTGCTTAGAAATTATTTATTTTTACATCTTATATCTAAAATCTATGTAATAAATGAGAAAATAGTATCTATAAATTAACAATTACAAAATTATTTTAAATCTGCAGAAAATATGTCAATAAGCAATTTCTTGTACGGTTCTTCTTTCACCTTGTAAATAATTTTAGAGTTGAAATATTCGGTTGATGTGAAATTATTTGTATTCGTACCTCTTCTTTCTGTAACGAAAATATTTAAAAAAGGAAATTTATGTAAAAAAAAGTCTTAAGCCTATGCAAATCAAATGTTAATGAAACAAGTTTCCTGGCACACTCGAAAAATATAATAAATAGCGCCATCTATATTTCATTTTAGTAACTTTTATAACCTCACTGGCAGCTTCAACGTTGTAATAAGTAGTTTTCATTATTGCATCTAGATGGCAGTAAAATACATTATTACTTTTTGACTAGAAAACTGTATAAGGCTATTTTAAGAATGACTAGATGTGAATATTTTGATTATTCTTTTAAATATAGTAAAGTAATTGCAATTAGTTAAAAGGATACAGAATACATTATATTAAATTGAGAAAAGGCAGGATATTAAAAAAATGATAAGATCCTTTTTCTCTTCCTCCCCTTCTCCGCGATATTAGCTTCCCTTGGCTCATAATTTTTCTATTATATCACACTTACCACACAAAGTAATAGTATTGTGGGTATATCTCCAGTCTTCTACAATTTGAGTTCCATTAAGCACTATTCCCATAGCAACTGGGTCTAGTAGAGTCCAGTCCTCGCTTTGAACTATAGATTTTTGTTCAAAGACGTTCAAGGCTCTTATCAATTCACTTGGTATTGAGCCTAAGATTGAGACCCGCCATTCCTGTAATAAAGTAAGAAAACTTAACTAGTGAGATTAAAAACAAAGTAACCACCAAGCACTATGATAAATGAATTATGTTTATTGTAAATATTAAATTAATACATGAAATGTAAATAGAATTTTTTATTAAAAATGGCTTCCAGTGCTGAAACACTTGTACAAAAAAGTAAATTCCATCTCACCTTTGTAAAAAATATGAGGAATTTGAACAATGAGAACCCATAGTTACCTACATTACTGAAATTAAAAACCAACTTACTCTACTAATATTATGTGATGAGTATACTTGTGAGTAGGGAATCAAAGTTACGATATCTGGTTTACTGTTCTGTAGTAATATGGAATATGCCTCCACATCCATTTCTGCATTGAATTCCGGTGCGTTATATATCTCGCCTGAAAAAAAACAAGTCCTTATTAACAACCCTTTGTCTTAAAATGTTGTAAGAGTTTAACGTAGACTGAAGTATGCTAATTTCATACTCGTATTTTCTAGATTTATACTTACTGTAAATATGACCACCAGCTACATATAATTTTAGAAGTCGACTTATAAATCTTGGATCCAGTCGTACTGCTATTGCAATATTTGTCAACGGTCCCAATGCAACAACGATCAGTTCCCCTTTAAACAATTAAAGTAAATTGTAAATATGTTACCTAAATAAACAAAATATAAACTGTACAGCACTTAATAAAATATTAAACACTTGAATAAATGTTTTATTTATTTTATGAAAAACACCTTTAGGAATAACTAGCTATCACCTGCGACTACGTTCCCGCGGTATTAATTATTAGTAAATTAAGAAAACAAAATAAGTAGCCTATGTATTCTTCCAGAGAATGCTCTACCTCTGATGCCAAATTTTAATTGACATTCTTTCAGCCGTTTTGGAGATACTTTCAACCAAACATCCATCCATCTAAACATTCGCATTTATAATAATAATAAGATGACAGCAAGCTGAATCCATATCTCGAAATAAAATCGTTTTACCTTCATATTTTTTAGACATTTCTATTAACGCCAAAGCGGCTGAATTTGATTGTGCTGCAATAGGTTCATATTCCAGAAATTCAGATTCACTGTCCCCAAGTCCGTCCATACCAAAATAATAATCAGATTCTACTCCTTTCACAAGAGGATATTCACTACCTCTGTAAATAAGTACCTGTAAGGAATCTCTATTTAAAAGTACATTATTGGTAAGTGAAATTATCGTAACACTTTCTTAAATTTAAAAACTATAGAGTTACGAAAAGGAAGATAAACAATAAGATCACTAGACAGTTAAAAGGAATCGTTTTTGACAGTTTTATATTGGAGTTAGGTAAAACATACATCTCTCCTGTCGGCGATATTTAAAATTTTCTGCGTATTGTTGAAAACTTGCGGTTCATTTACATTGCCGTGAGTTGTTGTTAATGCGATGACTTGATTTCTGAAAAAAAAACTATCAATAATAAAGTAACCAGGAAATCGATACTAACATCTGCGTGAAACATTTTAAAACACACTAGCTTTTGCTATCAACTCCATTTACGCGGTTTAAAAATAATATGTAGTTTATGAATTCTCCCGGTATATCCTACATCTATGACAAATTTCAGTCAATTCCATGTAGCTGTTCTGGAGATATAGGGTAACATACATCCATCCATTTAAACTTTCGCATTTATAATATTAGCAAGATTTAAAATAACCTACTACTCAGGGATAAAGTAAGCAGTCATATAAAGATTTTCCTTTTATACAATACTATAATATTAGCGTAGAAATATGTACCCATTAAAATATTTCTGGTATTGTAGAGCCATGAATATTGCCATAGCGTCGTCAGCTCCTCCATCGTGGTCGATCACAACTTTCGGTCCAGGTACAAGATCTTCTGAACTACTGTGATGTAATTTATAAAACATTATACTAATAAACAAAGCTCACATTGAAATTGTTAATCAATAAAACACAAACTGTAGATGTTAATATTAAGTAGAATCTTAGTAGTGGAAATTTAGTTGAAATCAAAAATAAAATCAATTAGAAAAACGTTAAAAGCGCCTGAAAAAATGTGATTGGCGATTATGTATTTTCAGTTCATAAATGTAGAAGAATATATGTATATAAGAATAAAGATATTGAAGTAAGACAACGAACATAATCACGAGTATTAAAATACCTTTAGATAATCTTTCTACAGCCTCTTGAAAGCTACGAGTACATACAATATCATCGCTGATAGTTAAACACTTGATTACTTTAGATATAAAATTCAAGATAAACAAAACATGAAAATTAACACATTATCTGAAACAAATCATATGTAATATGAAGAATAAAAACAAAAAAAAGAACAAATGATTACAAAAATTACATTTATATTATTTAATAATGTTTAATGCAATCATTAAATGTATACAAACAAAATATAAAATCACTCAAGTGTTTATATTATTAATATTATATCGTACTATTATCCCAAGTAGGGTTGGCGTCAGGCAGGCGGCTGACCGTAAAAAAATAAGCCAAAAACTTAAGGTTTATAAAAACCTTGTGTGCTGACCCTACATGAATAAGGCCAGGAAGAATGTCTCACTATTAATTCTATTTAAAACTTTTATTTAATCTTACCTTCGAAAATAGTACAATAGGAATAATATCAAAATTATCATCACTAAAACTGCTGTTATAGATGCTATAATAAAATTATATTTATTTTTTTTCATTACGAACTCACAAAATTTGGTTACGCCTTTTTAGGTACTTGCTTAAACACTAAATAATAATTAAAGCTAATTAAATGTAACAAACTCAAGTATATATCACTGTTTTAGTATAAAATATAAATATTTATTAATTACACGTATCAAAATTTTACAAGAATTATGTATCCATTTAAAATATTGATTATTTTAATTATGTAAGCCTTGCAAAAATTTTTGTCAATATCAAATTATGTCATGACAATTTTATCGAACTTTTATTTATCGAACTGATATGACTCTGACCGTGACTAACCTAAGACTGAAACGTACAAACGAGTACTGACGTCTTAAATTAATATTTACGCGTTTATTGCTATGATTACCTTATCAAACAGAATATAAACTCTAATATTAAGTTATAATTTGTCACAGATTATCAAATTATATGTTATTTAAAATATAAGTTAAAAATTTGAACTTCTATACTTATGTACGGTATATTCAAATAATTAAAAATAATATCTAAAATATTATAACGATACTAAGTCACCATAAACGAGATTATGACTGAAATATGTAACTGTGTCGATTGATATATTAACATGACAAATATAGGCACTGTTTCCTCATAAACAGCTATTGATAACGTAGCAAGGGACAAAACTCATTTATATTTATTTTATTGTTTCATTTAAGCATGCATCGTTTTTATTTTATCATCTAATCAATTTTGTATTAATTACTAGCGTTCGCCCGCGACTCCGTCCGTGAGGAAAAAGAAATAATTAGTAGTCTATGTGTTCTCCCAGACTGTGTTCTATATGTATGCTAAATTTCATGAAGATCTGTTCGTCCGTTCAGAAGATACCTTCAAACAAACATCCATCCATCCATCTAAACATTTGCATTTATAATATTAGTAAGATATTTTAAATGTATCCTATGTACCTTTTTGATTTAAGATTATAATTTATTTTTTGTTACGAATACGAAATAACATTTAAAAAAATTGTCTCGGTTTGGTTTCCCGTTAAACAAGCGTTGTTTCATTTGAGCCTCACGTGAAGTCAATTGAATCGATTTATGTTTATTATTCTGTCTGTGTTCATTTATTGACTGTCTTCTAATAAGTATCGAAAATTTACGTAATATTTTATCAATGTTACTAAGTGAGGTTGAAATTGGCATTGGCAATTTTTGACCAATACTTATACTACGATCTTTGTTTTTATTTAGACCAAAATCGAAATCATTTGTATTTTTATTTATTTATTAAAAATTAAAATACATTTACATTTAACTATTTTCATATTTTTTTATTAATCGTGGATGAAACGTACAAATTGATTCTATAGGAATCTTTGTAGAAGCGTTCTAAACTTAGTTTTTAGATATTTTAATAATACCGCCATCTATAAGGAACTCGGAGGAAGTAATACAAACAGCGATATTGGTGTTTGAATTAATTTGTAACCGTTTCAATTCAATCATCTCTGTCTAGATGGCGTTAATTATTTCGACAAAGAAAAAAATCTGATTTCTTACACGTTTATGAAATATGAATATGAAGGACAATTTAATAGGCCACATTTGACATGTGTAAATTTACCTTCATAGTTATGAGAGCTGCTTAAAAACATAAGTAACACGTTTATGTGATAAACAAGTAAAGTAATAAGGAAATTAAATAATTCGAGTTTTATTTATTAAAATGTTACAGCGAGGTCAAGGACCAACTATAAAGTTTCTAATCCATTGGTGCTATCTAATCAGTTTCGACACAAACTTGAACGCTTACTTTTAAATCTCAAGTTCTAAGGAATTTATATACTTTGGAAAATAACCTATTTCTATAATAGTTTTATTACTACAAAGATATACTTATAGCGTGTGACTAGGGGGGTTGAATATCGTTTTCTATTTCAAACGATTCACACGTTTCTTGCTTCTATTGCGTTGGTAAAGAAAGTACTTTGGATTTTCAGTATGAAATAGAACATATAAATTATGTTATTTTCATGAATATTGATTTCTATCTATCTACTCAGCCATGAGACGCCCACTGCTGGGCATAGGCCTCCCCCAAAGATCGCCACGATGACCGATCTTGTGCCACCCGCATCCAGGACGCTCCCGCAACCTTGACCAGGTCATCGGTCCATCTTGCGGGAGGCCTGCCCACGCTGCGTCGACCCGTCAATGACCTGACCCGGGTACCGTCGTTAAACTGCCTCCAGATCACCGGAGGACGGGCAGCAGCGTCCCTTATAATAAACGGTGGCAAACACTGCGATCGCCAACCCGCCTGCCAATCGTGGCGATTACGGCAAATCCCCCCCAAGTATGATGGCCACAAATATTGATTTAGTTGGTGGAAATTTAGTTTTTTTCTGAAAATTAAAAACACTCAAAGATGTTTTACTAAAAGTCACTTTATTGCTTCTAATAGTATGGTTTATGATTTACTTTTACTATTTCATCTTAATAGATGATGATTTTAGCTTGTTTTGCGATCATCCTAGAAGGAAAAAATTAAGAAGTTTCACCGTCGGTTTCTGAGTTCAAAATCTCTGTATAAAACATCTCGTCATCCCCTATTTTATAAGAGAAGAGGGCAAACGAGCGGCGGGAATACCGAGGTGATCAACGACACCCATGGACATCTACAATCCAGAGGAACTGCAGATGTGTTGTATTATCTTTGATAAAAACAGAGATAACAATATGTTTTACACGGGGATTTTGGTCTTAGAAACCTACCGTTAGAAACCAGCAACTACCTTGAGAAGATATTGTAATTTAAATTAAAAAAAAATACCTCGTTAAAGAACCACCAGTCTCTCAAGTTACTTGAAACATGTGAAGGCATGAATGACGCGTAATCAGGTGCGCTCTCACTAATTTTAATATGATTAAATGCATTCTGAAATTGAATGTATATATTTTTTTTATATTTTTTTTTATTTACAGTAAAATGCTTGAAAATAAAAACTTTTTGATAAATATACCGAAAGATGTTAAATAAATAAATTTTGTCATTAATAATATTTAAAAATAACTTAATTTTTTTTGCAATCAACTGTCATCAACTATAAAGAAATTTCTTGTATTTATACTTAAAATTATTTAAAAAAAAAATTAATTACCCGTAATTAATTTTTTTTCTAATTTATGTTTGACCATTTTGTCTTCCTAGTGTTGGATTTTATAACATCCTATACATAAGGGGTGTTTTGTAAAATGAAAATTAATGAATGATGATGAAAATTTTAGATAAAATTACCATTGTCTTTATCATTTCAGCAAATTTCTGTTTCATTGCATTATTTTCTAATATTTCTTTATCTTCAGGTTTGCCTAATTCACCTTCCGAGTTAGGTTCATCCAGCGGAGTCGAGTCTGGTATAACTTCTTTAAGTTTCAAATTCAAATCTTCCCTCTGAAAGATTTTTTTTGTTATTTGACATGTATGTATTATACTAGCGGCCGCGCGCGTCTCCGTCTTCGCAAAATTAGAAAAAAAAATAGTAGCCTATGTGTTCTTCCAGACTGTGTTCTTTATGTATGTCAAATTTCATCGAGATCCATGCAGCCGTTCTGGCGATACTTTCAATCAAACATCCATCCATCCATCTAAACATTCGTATTTATAATATTAATAAGAAGTAAGATGTAGCTTCTTGACAAAATAAATAAATTTGTCTTTTAAATTAAGGAGCCTTTCAATGAATATAGGTATTTAAGACTTACAATTGGCTTTACAGCTCGCAACCTGAAATTTGTTACTAGATTAAGTATGTGTTGCACAAAATTAAGATCACAAAGTGTAGCTTTAAATTATTTGATATTTAGTGTTTAAAACAAACCTCAGTACATTGTAATTTTGTGGATAATTTTGGACTGACTGTAAAAAAAATATTCATCTATACTTATGTTATAAAGAGGTAAGATTTGATTGTATTGAATAGGCTCGGAAACTAATGAACTGATTTTGAAAAATCTTTCAATGTTGGGAAGTTACACTATCCCTGGGTGACACATGTTATATTGGTTGCTAAATAGCAACTGCCATGTGTTATAAAAATGGATTCTTTTATTTAGGGTTTAAGAGAAATTTAAGGCAAAAATCTGTTTATTTAGTAACACAACTTGGCTACTACAAGAAGAAAATTCTACGCGTAGTTCTATGACCGACTTATTTACGTTATAATATCTTAAATTATTTTCTAACCTGTCTATTTTTGTTGCTGAAACAAATTACAATCAAAATTGAACCAAACTAAATATGGGTACCACATGTATCAGCTAAAATATGCAATAGTCAAGTAGAGCACTAATTTTAACTAAGTAAATTAAAAGTGGAGCCACCTGTGAATGATGGTTTAAGGCATTTTTCTTTTACGCAGACGAGAGATAACTTAATTTACTTTCGACAAAGATATTGTACGTGAGATAAAAAAGCGTTATCCTCTAGCGCCGTATCTAAAGTACTTCGCGTGGTAATAAGTACATACATTATACGAGACTTGACGTGAAGAATATGAAAAAATACGTAATATTTCACGTTAAGACGTAAAATATTAGGTATATTTTTAGAACAACAATTTCTACGTCATTAGTTTATAGTGTAGGGCAGACTGTGGTCTCTTGAGACAGTGGGGTCGAGTTTACCACCTAATTACCAGTATGATAACAATTTTTTTTTTTAATTTATAACGAAGGTCGTAAAGTGTAAAAAGCTAGGTTATAAATAACAAATATTATTATTGTAATGTACAAAAAAAAAACAAAGATACTATTTCATTTGAATTTCGAACTAAATAAGGGAACATACCCACACTACGTGACCTATTTTTTTAGTTTTTTCGACCTCTCCCTCCCCTCGGTGACCACTGATAGTACGTGCCAAGACCGCCCCCCCCCCGCTTTAGTTTTTACGTATTAATAAATACATAATTATGATTTTTAATCATTTCAAAGGCAAAAATTGAAAAAATAATAATTTGGCTCATACTCTTGTTTATAGCATAATACTGCGTGCATACTTAAATTACTAGTGAATTATGTATTATGAAAAAAACAAGTAACGACTCAGTGACTAAAATCTGAGCACACCGCTCCTGTGACTGACCGTAGTATTTTAAAGACCCCTCTCCCCCACCCCCTCCCTAAACGGGTCACGTAGTATGGGTACGTTCCCTAAGTATCAGTATTTAAAGAAATATAAAATCATTCCTCATTCAAATATCCAACTTTTAGTGTTATGAGTAATTGGAGACAATAACAAATTTACTAAATTATAAATTTTAAATAAGAACAAATTAATAAAATAAATAAACTCACAGATAATACGAATCCGATTTTTCTGTCAACGACTTGAGAGCCTTTAAAAATATTTTTTAAATTTTTAGTATCTTTACCTTAAACATGTACTAGACAATTAAACTATATGAAACTTACTGACGCGTCTAATAAAGTTAAAATGACGACATTAACGTTTCTGAAATAACAAATAATTATATAATATTATAATATGATAATTTACAAATATATTGTTATTTTTAAAATCGACATTTTCAAATATCTATAAAATTGTACCCTTGTAGGTTAAGTCGCTGCAGCTGCTGCAGTAGATTCTTAATTGTATCTTTATTCTCCTAAATAATAAAAGGTAATGTATGTAAAAGAAACAAAAAAAAATAAAAAATCTAATTTTAAAACATCAAAAACTCACTAAATCTAGAACTGTTGAAAGTAATTTAAATCTGTAAAGATATCGATGGTTTAAATTAATAAAACTATTAAGTTAAAAAAAAAATCAATTTACTTAGTTCAATAATAAATATTTAATAAAAATAAATTTACCTTGGCTTTGATTGATTTTCTATATTTTTCTGTGGGACAACCTGAAAGATAATTATGTTACTGCCATAAAAAAATAAAACATAGGATGTTGTTTTTTGTGTGGTAGATTTTAGCAAAGTCACTGACAATATTCTAGTAATAAAATACATACGAATCAGTGATTCAAATATAATACTTACCATAAGATAGTCAGAAGCACGCCTACGGAAATCTGAATACATAACTCTTTCATTCGCACCATTGTACCTAAATGTTTAACGAAATAATGCTTATTAAATTATTCCTTTGATACAACAGAGATGACAAATATTTTTAAACAGAGTTTTGGTCTCAGAAATCCACCGTAACCAATTTAAACCGATTTAGCTTATGTGTGATTTTCCATTATCTAAATACACGTATAAATTATTCATCATCCCTTTTCTTCTCTTTGAATTAAATAGAGACAGCAGTGTTTTAAGACAAGTATTAATCCAGTCGTTTGAAAAGTAACTAACCGAAGTCCAATATTATCAGTATTCCCATAAACTCCTGAACCATCTTCAAAGTCCATATGTGGAAATTTTAATGAAGACTTTAGCATTCCTAAAGCTGGTCTGATGAGCGTGTGACCTGGTAATATAGATTCTGCTAGAGGAAGATGTTTTGGTGAATGTGGTACACCCGCTATATTGGTTACTTCTCCACGGTCGTAGCTGAAAAATATTCTGCGCTGGAATAATAAGATGTCACTTCTAATTAATTTTGATATGAAATCTTGTATAGTTTTTTTAGCATTAAATTAAAGTAGAGAGTGCAAATGGTGCAATGTTTCTTCGCATTAATAGTAAGGTTCTTTACGTATTTTCCACTTCTTACCTTCTTAATTTTCATCTTACTTCTCTGTTGGTCTTATTGATAACATTACCGACCTATTTACCGCAGATTGCTACCTATTTGAGTACTGACACTATATTAAAATTAAAATAAGTTTTTTTTTTTTAAATAAAATTTATGGCATTCTTATGTCAAGTACTCACCGTCAATGGAAGTTCTCCTTTACTTTCTAACCGCCTTCTCTGTCAAGAAAATTATATAACTTGAGTTACGCTTATGTTTCAAATTTAAATATTAATAATACGCTAAACATAAAAGGGATTTATGTCCAATAACAGAAGAGATAAGTTAAATCGAAACAAAATCTTACGGCAATATGCTCCAACTGTTGTACCAAACTGACTCCATTACAAGGCAACACGGCCTGAAATTAAATTTATAATTAAATTTACTGTCCTTTTGCAAATATATTTTGTGCCTACTCTAAATTAAATTCCGTAATTATTTGACGTTATTACAAGCAGTAGAAAATGTAATATTACATCACTAATTCCAATGAAAAAAATAGCTTATAGGTCACAAAATATTGGTCTTCGATTATAATGATCCAATTATTGGCAAAGATGTTCACGAAATTTCCGCTTTCCATATTCAGCGGTCTATTGTCTCTACCACGAAGCGTAGAGTCCATCTGACTTGGTCTGTTATCGGGCCAAAGAAATTTTTAATAGATCTCTTACGGAATTCTCGGTGGCAATAGAACTGAAGATTTTTTAAGTCTATATTTCCCTTTATAGCTTTTATCTCTCACATTTTTGATTATAATTACTGTTATGTGTAACGCATTAAACAATTCAATGACTTACAATTATTACTATGAGAATTAAAATCTGTGTTCTTTTGCTATTCATTTTTAAATTTAAAATGTAAATATGTACACAATTCATACGTCAGTACAATTACTGTTAAAGTCCAAACCATGAAATAGAAAGATAAATCCAAGAGTTTCTTTGAGAATTCAATATTCATTAAGTTATAAAATGTTTGTATTGATATTTCGAATATCAATTCAAATATAAGAACTACTAGGAATGCATGAATTGCTCGCTTTGAAAAATGTGTTGGAAATTTAAGAACTATGGCATTCGTAATAGAGCAATTTCCAGACCTACAATTCTTGTGACATTTTATTTACTTAATCTCCTATTCCTCTGCGACATAACATTCACTTTCTAATTTATCTGTTGCATGTTATTCTTTGACAAATCGCATAAGGTAAATAATAAGTGAAATTGATTTGGAATCTTTGAATATCTGTGCCGATAGACAATAATATAAAATTTCTGATATTCACAGAAGATAACTGGTTTCAAATATATGAGGAGGTTCAAAAGTGTTTATTTGATGATAAACAAAAGATCTACCGATTCGTTAATGTGTAAATCAATTCAAACTTTTAACAATTGCTGGAACAACATTTTGAGACTAACTTTAATTGGAAGGGAAAATGTTATATTTTAAAATAATATCCTCATTTATTAAAAAAGTTACGGAAGCGTAACTTACAAGGTCAAAGTTTTCAATGATGTAACTTTGAATTTTGAAGTTTTGCAATGAAGAAGTAAATAAGACCAATCTTCAGTTAATAAAAGAAAATATATATGTTGTAAAAGTTCTACAATTAATTCAATAGTTAAGAGTCTTTATTTTCACATTCTACATTTTCTGACTCTGAGTTTCTGAGACCAAAATCTCTGTTGATAATATTGTAACCTCTGTTGTTAAAAACAATGGCAAGGATTACGATATGTTACATACAAGGATTTTGAAGATTGATCAATGATTTCAGAAACCAACAGTGAATGATTCTCCGTTCTTATAATAGTCTTTAGCAATCATTTTTGAAACGAAATAACTGATCTTATTTGTTATTCTTTTTTTATAGGAGAAGGGGGCAAAACAGCAACCGATCGCCTAAAATTACTTGATCCGACGCCCAAGGAGATCTCCAACCACAGGTTCCTGTGGTCACCATCATCAATAGCCTTAACCAGCATACTACTGCACATACATATTCCTTCTCCAAGGACTTTCAACAACTACTTTCCACATATTTGTACTTTTACTCGTATGATAAATTATTCGAAATTAATATTATATAAGAAAAACTGCACTACAAACAGCTTTTCAAATACGTATGAATACAATTTCGGTTCGTATAACCGGCTTTAGAAATCCCGATCTCAGTGAATCTCATACAAATATTTGCTACGAACTAAAAATAGAATTTTGTATGCTAGAAAATAGAAATATGTATGGTATTAGTTTGTGTGTGAGGTACGCCTTGACGACACAAAAGAGTTAAAGCAAATTGTTTGTGGAGTATACTTATCATCCATAAAGTTTAAGTATAAATATATATTAAATACTTATGAAATCTGAATCTGAATAGAAAAATGTAAAATATTTTAAATAAACAACTTATATTTATTGCAAATTAACAATCAATTGTTCTATATATCTATTTTTTGTCTCGCTTTTTTGTCTTTCTAGTATGGTCTGAAAAAAAAGTTTAATCTCTGTTCTTTTTGTTTAATATAATTGTGAAATGGTTAATAACGTCTTTATTTGTTAATTTGCTGATCTTATAAATTAATAAGCGACCAGTAAGTACACTTAAACCCTGTGGGTTTTTAGTACTGCTGTCTAACCGATGTTTAATTTGTTACGTAAAGTTTTTGTAAAATAAAATAAAAAATAAAAACTATCTTTAAATATTTATTTAATGTTTTTAAGAAGTAATATTGATAATCTTACGTTGTGATGTTGAGTGGAATTTTCGTTTCTCCATTAAATAAAGTTTAAATACGTAGTTAACTGAGATTTCCCGATAAAGTTATATGGGTCAAGGTTGCAGGAGCTCGCCGGAACTGTATGTAGGTGGCAAGGGACCGATCTTTATGACGATTCATTCAGACCCATAGAAGGCAACTGCTAGGACTGTTATGAAAATTTATTATCATGTGAAAACATTTGACATATATTAGATATTTTAATGAATATATCTTACTTCTTACTATAGGTAATATTATAAATTCAAATGTTTAGGTGGATGGATGAATAGGTGTTTGTTTGAAGGTATCTCCAGAACGACTGAACGGATATCGACAAAATTTGGTATACATATAGAAGATAATCTGAAAGAAAACATAGGCTACTTATTATGTTTTTTCTAATTCCGCGCGGACAGAGTCGCAGGCGACCGCTAGTGTTATTGTAACAATTGTGTTTGCCATTTTCTGTATACATTTTCAATTTTTTACAATCTAATTTAAAGTTAAATTCCACTCATAGACGGCATTAAAAGTTACAAATTGTGTAACTTTTAAGAAGGATCTCAAGAGCCGTGGTCGGGTGTGGTTCGTACATTTCAAAATAAAAGAATTTTCTGCTTTTATCTTTTTAATTCTCGATGTTTCTTTTATAAAGGTTTGTAGTCATCCTGTAAATTAAAAAAGTAATGAATTAAACATAAAAAACGTTAATAAAATAGGAATATTTCAAAAATCTAGTAATAAATATATGCTATCACCCAGGGATAGTGTAGATTCAGAATAGTGAAGAATTTTTAAAATAAACAACAGAGAGAGAAGTTTCGGATCCTATTTAATTCAAAAATACTTTCTTTTTCTTCATATAAATAAATTATTTCTTTCGTTCGTTCCGTCACTAATATAGAAATGAATAACAGATGAATACAATTTTGTTTGGTTTACATATAAATTTCTCTGCCTCTGAATTTTCATACTGAACATTACTATTGTATTTTGAACTTATAAAAAAAATATTCTTCATTCTTACCTGATTAAAGTACCACCATTTCCTACCAAATATAAGTGCGGCTCCTGATGGGCCGTAATTATTGATCAGTGGCGCGTATGGATTAACGTTCATATGATCTCCTGTCATCTGAATAAATAATTTATCTTAATTAAATCTTATTTTTGTATATGAACCAAATGTGTCCGAACACAAATATTGATAACATCGTTTCGCTTCTCATAACAAACAAATATTTTTTGTGACAGTAAAAAAAATAGTTAGAAACCTAGGACGACGGTGGCTCAGGTGTTAAGCACTTGACTTGTAATCTGCAGGTCTTGGGATCGAATCCCGCCATGTACCAATGTGTTTTTCGATTTACATATTTACATTTATCCGACGTTCTACGATGAAGAAAAATACCGTGATGCAACCTGCACATATCTACGAAAAAAATCGAAGGGATGTGTGAAATCAACCAACATGCACTAGGACAACGTGGTTAACTTTGGCCAAGTCACCCCTAATTTAGGGTTGGCTCCGAGACTCTCAGTGAAGACATATAGTGGAGCTGATGATGATAAATTAATGGCTACTTACAATATGATTCCACATCCAGTTTTGTTTGTAATGATTCTTGTGTACGGTGTAAGGATTGCCAGCGTTCCTCTCGTGACTCTCTGATTCCTCAACAGCCGAACTGTCCGATGAGCTCTTTTCGTAAAATTTGTCTCGGAGACGATAGTGCGATTTAGATTTAGAGGAGCGACGTGGATGGGAGCGTCGTATTTTTAATCTCTGAAATAAAAAAATAAAAAAGGATAAATTTTAAACATATACCATAAAACGATTTTATTGAACTGACTGACTTTCCGACTTTCCAAATTTCCATTTAGTATACAAAATAACTCACAAACAACATAGGGCAAGAACGTTTGACATTTTTATCCTCCAGGGAGACAAAGTCACAAGAAGGAGCTAGTCTTTAATACTGTAATATCTTTCGGTTAGTGATTAAAATATTTTTTTTAATGCGACAGGTTTCAATAGTGTGGCATTTTTGTCATATTAGTTGTCAGATCAGCTTAATATCACGCAATTTGTTTTCAATAGTAAAATAAAAAAAAATCAATGAAAATAAATTTTGTCTTACATCATCGGGATATTCAGAAGAATCTGCTCTGAAACAAAAATTTGAATAATTGAAGTTTGAAAACATTCTTTTGAAAATTTTCATGCTGAATTGCGAATTTTCTAACGCGAATATTTTGCCTTAGTACTAACGACTTATTACACTAACATTGCGTTATTAAATATTGTATTTTAAAACATTTTGATGGTATTATTACTACCGTATTAATCGTAACTATTATAACAAAAAAGCAAAACGTTACCGTTTGAAGAACTGAATTTTAATAGAACTTTACAATATAAAATCCAGAAAAACTCGACAAAACTCTTTATAAATATACTTATAGTACTTGTTTATTTTTAACAGACTTCAAAAAGGAGGAGGTTCTATGTTTTCTATACGTCTATATGTTTTTTTTTGTTCGTCGATAGTTTTAACAGAACTTAGTTCGCACATTATCTGGTACTGTAGTATACTAATAATCTTTAGTGTATTCGAATTTTAAAGAATACATGGCATGTATAAGAATGTAGCATACATTTTATAAATCCGGGCCACAGTTTTGAAATAAAATATATTTCAAACGCCCAACTTGATACACTTACAAGTTACAAATGCTTAAAAGTTTTCTAACTTGGATTACCATCTGCAGCGACAAGTGAAATATTTTCCGTGGAAATTACGTCTTGACAAATCTTATTCCATTACGTATGCATTTCTAAGTAAATGCTATTTGAAATGATGAATTGAAATAAATGAAATAAAGTGCATAAACTGATATAAAAACGGCTAAACACTCACGTATATTCGTCCGGTGCCGCCACGTTTAGCCGTTTTTATATCAGTTTATTATAATGTTTCACGAAAGTTTAAATAATTTAATAAAGTGCATGTTCAAAAATTCAAGCATTACAAATTTAAAAAAACGACTCAATAAAATCATTTAATTAAGACGTAAGCAAGTAATTTAAAAATACTAATTGCCATCAATAAAAAAAAACACTACATTTATCAAAACTTGTTAAAAATAATATACTTACTGAACCAGTAAAACTCCTATCTTTGGATTATTTCTTGAAATCTAAAGTATTTTAGAAGAAATTCAGTATTCAAACAAAAATCACATTTATAAAGGAAATGAAAAAAGTGAAATTGTGAAAATATTTGTAATGAAATTCTGATAATTCAAAATATTTAAGAAATCATTGTTTTTTTCTTGAAGATTTGTTATACATTAGTGAGATTTAGTTTGGTTGCTTTAAAATTCATATTTACCTCAGTTCTTCCGAAATTTCTTTTTCGTCTGGAAAGTTTAATTTAAAGACATTACTTTTAGTTTATTAATATAATAAAGCATGTAAACTTATTTAGTTGTAGATTTATTAAAAGATTTGTTAGTTTAAATTAAAAAAAACCATAAAGAATAACAAAACTTATTTGTTTTCCCTTCTTTTTATAACGTATACATTGTTTAAATTCTTCACATGACGAATCCTCACTTGACGTGACTTGATTTTCTTTTATAATCAACTAACTAGTGCCCGCGGTCTCGTCCGCGGGGATTTTTTTTAAACTTGCCATGGGTAATGAATTATTTATTTTGAATAGTGTTAACATCTTTAAGTATAATAATTCTGGCTAACGATGACTATTTCAAAAAAAAAATTCTCCCTTAATTTTGAAATTTCTTTTAGTGCTCAATCACATTGTAAAATTGTATTTTTTTTTTAATTTAGGCCAGTAGTTTATACTGTGACTATATCAGTCAGATATTTTCTTCTTTTTAGATATAGATAGATAAATTTTTGTATGCAGTGTAGCAACTCGGTATAATGGTGGCATTTTGCCAGACAAATGTGTTGACTGCAGGTGATTTCAAGCACGAGATATGACGGTGCATTTTGTTAAGGTCTGAAATTATGTTAGGGTCTGATAATTTGTAAAAAGAAATCGATGTTTTAGAGAAAAGTGTGTGATCTCGATACGATCGACCATACAATATTAAGTTGTCTCGTTCTTTGTTTAAAAATATCAGATTACTTACAGATTTTTTTTAGGTTTTATGGGGATTTGCAGTATTGTGTACTGGAATAAAACATTATTAATGATTTTTATAAAGCTGTCGCCCATTTTTTAGCAGCATTTAAAAGAAAAATTTATAATTTGGACTGACCGGTTGAGAATTTCTGAAAATACATATATGTAATTAAAAAAAAGTTACATGAGTATGTCTGGACAGACAGACATACACATAGAAATTATATCCATACATTTAGCTATAGTTAACTTACCTACGATCACTGTACGTATTATCATTTGTGTATAAAGATTTAACAACGTCCTAAAATAAATAAGATTTTAAAACCTTTAAACATTTACAAAAATCGAAAAAGTTGCAACTTATAAGTGAAAATTACCAATAGCTGGTTAGTTTTTCTCACATCAGTGTAAAGAACGCGGTCATAAGTATTTCCGTAACTGTAAAGAAAATTTTTCACAATTTTTTTTTATTTAAATGTTAATTTTTTTCTTATACATATAGGTATGGCATTAGTTCTCATAATACCTCCTTTTCTACTGGTAATGTTATCCGTGCCACTGATGATTTAACCGTGGTAGAGCCCGCTTTAACATCTTCGCACGAATTGGCAGGGCTCTCCCGGTGAAATACCACGACCACACAGAAGACGGGCGTGAAGTGGAAACAATTCCGCGTTTCGTCTGATGAGTGTGCGTCCCGGAGGCCTAATTTAGTCCTCATTTCCTTCCCATCTTCTTCTTTATTAGGAAAGGATGGGAAGTGGAAGTGTACTTTCCGGATTAGAGGATGCATTAAAAGGGAAGATATTTTCTTTCTGTCCATCCTCTCCTCCGTCGTTTATAAGTAGGCAACGCATATTCAATTGCGTATGTCTATGGGCAACGGTCACTTCGCTATTTCAGCGATTTCAGGTGGCCGCTCGCTCGTTTGCCACCTTATGATATAAAAAAAATGAAAACTGTAGAAACAAATCCCTTGTTTAAAAGTACGTAATTCGCGTAGTGGAAAAGGGCTGTATTACTTACGTTATTCCCAGCTTGTCTATATTACCATAAACAAAATTACTGTAATCTTTTTGTGGAAACATTACTGAAGACTTGAGCATTCCTAGAGCTGGTCTCAGTAATGTATGTCCCGGCATGATGGGCTCCGCTCTGGGCAAGTCCTCAACATCGTCCGGGATTTCCATTATATTATCATACATATCATATATTCGTCTCTGTAACGTAAACGAAAATTTTGTTAAGTATTTCTACTGTATTAACTTATACTAGATGTCGCCCGTGACTCTGTTTACGCGAGATTTAAAAAAGAACTCGGAACGAAGAACTCTACATGTATGCTAAACTATAGCGACATTCTTGCAGCTGTTCTAAGACACGAACACGAATTGACTTTCTAAATATAATATAACACAGAAAATCTTACTTCTTAATAATATTATAAATGTAAGCGTTTGGATGTAAGGATAGATGTTTGTTAGAAGGTATCTCCATAACGGCTTCATGAATGTCGCTGAAATTTCCCATAGATATAGAACATAGACTAGAAGAAAACTTAAGCTACTAATTAAGTTTTTTTTTTAATTCTGCGCGGACAGAGTCGCAGGCGATAACTAGCACAGTCGTATATTCTTAGTGAAGGTTAAACACGTCTCTGTTACATCTGTATTCACATCATATTGTTGGGCTTAACAAAGTAACAAAGTTTAGTGACACACGTCTAAATTTAAATTAAGTTAACAAGTGTCCGTCGGTAGCAGGACTCTCACCTGTATGTAACTAAGTTATATACTCGCCGGAAAAGCCTGTTACACGGACGTAATTTGATATGGTATGGTAGCTGTGATGCATATTCATAATCGTCAGTATGATATATATAATGTACTCGTATATTTTGGACGTTAGTGTAATATGAGTCGTTAAGAGAATTTAGTTAATTAATATACGCTAGAGATCGCTCTTAGCGAACAGTTAACAATGCTGAGTACGGTTTTAATCTATGGGCACATTTGAATATGCGTAATAATTATAACTTACTAACTGTCGCCCGCACCTCCGTCCGCGCGGTATAAATAACTTGATTAACCTATGTGTTTTTCCATGCTATGTTCTACGTTTGTGCCAAATCTCAACGAAATCTATCAAGCCATTCTGGAGATACCTTCTAATAAACGTGACTGTGTTTGTAATTCAATTTAAGTAAGTTTTGATAACTACGAGACAGTTATATGGCAAAGTACAATAATATTTATATATTTTGTAGAAAACACCACATAATAATAAAAATATTAAATTAATTTTAAGTAAAAGAAATGTCAGGGAAACTTCAAGTTGCTTTCTATGAAAAAATACTCAATTTAACAACATTTTACTAGTAAATTATAACGAAATTAAAATATATTGTAATTCAAAGATGCATCAAACGGTCCACAGTTTCCATTTAGTTATGTATTGTGAACAATCGCATAAATTGTGTTGAACAAACTTCTATTGCGTAGGAGATAACAACAGAGAAATTTCCATATTGTACCAATAAAGCTTTCGGGTGCACGGAAAGCTTTATGCTTAAACTTTCGAACTTTGTTTAGCTTTTCATTATAAATTAAAAAGTGAACCCCAATACTGTTTTTACTCAAATGACTTAAAAGCTAAAGTGTTAAAAAAAAGTTTTTTTTTTAAATTTCAAAATATTGGCACATATTCCTTTTATTAATACACTGTGCCCAAATTCGATTATAATAAAATCGTGTTAATGTTCTGTGATAAGCTATTATTATATCTAAAGCAAAGAAATAAAACAATAATGTTTTTTTTCTTAATTATATGGTGGCAAGCGAGAAAGCGGCCAGTGTCGTTTGAAGAAATAGCAAAGCGACTTTTGTCTGAAAACTTTAGCAATTGCAGATGCATGTCCTACTTTTAATTTAGGGAAGAGGGGAAGCAAAGAAAGAGAATATTTTCCTATGTTATGCGTCCCTTTCTCCGTCAAATCCACATCCCACAATTAGACCTCCGTCATTAGGAGAAACTCAGAATTACTTCTACTTCACCGCTGTCTTTGGTTAGGTCGTGGTATTTTACCAGTCGACCTATTTGTGCAACAGATGTTATTGCTGGCTTCTATCACTTTTAAATTAACATAACAATATACATACCTGAGGAATAGTCAATATTCTAAACGGTAGCTTATATTGACCAGACGACAAAACTATGTTCTGTAATTAATAAAAATATCGGATAATTTCATGTTATGATATAAAATTTTATTGCATTCGCAACAAAGTGATTCTATAAGGGTTCCTTTCCTTTCAGGTACGGAACCCTAAAAATCAACGATGTTATACAGTATCTATTTTTGCATACATGATAATTTTAATATATTAGAACTTAAACAATTGTTTTTATTAAATAGTATAAAAATCGTTACCATTAATATATAAGATAAAAATATACGCAAATACATTTTTTAATTAATTTAAAATGACATGTATTCACCAAAAAATTCCATTTTTAGCAATAAATTTCATATAGTAAATACAAAGTTGAGTGTGATTTTAAAAATAAATTAAATGGCATACCATGAAATTATAACATCAACCATAAAATAAATTAAATAAGCATTGTTCCATAGTAGAAAAGTTATTGCGAGAGGATATATAGAAAATATCATCACATGTAAGGTCTAAGCCAAAGAATTATGAGATCATAAGCAAAAAATTTTGGCACATGCAAATTTTTGGCACTAATGATAATAACTAAGGAATGAAAAAAATGTTCTGCCAAATACAGAAAATTATATCTGGCTGTTTAAAAAGAATATGATAAAAACCATAAATCGAGTTAAAAAGTATTTTTCTTGTAGAAATGAATCATCTACTACAAAATTGTCAAATTCCCTTTGAGTTGTGCATGCTTTATCTATATCTTCGCTGCGGTAAGTCCACTCATTTGTGACTTAGTTGAAGGTCGATTTAGAGTATTCTAGTTGGCCTTTCGACAAGAAACAAGTAAAATTAAATAAAAAACTAAGATAACTTCAAAAGATTTATATTAATCTATCTTATATAAAAAGCAATATAAATATTTCATACGACAATAGTAATATTTAAAAGGAAATATAAAATACTCGTGAGGTAATTTAAATGCTAGAAATAACTTTTTGGAATGGTTACAAAGTCTTTGGTACAACATGAAAAAAAAATTGTAAGATCAATTAATCGGTGGTTTGACTTTTTTTGCAAAACTACCCATTACGTTTCCAGGTGGGTAGTAATTAGCAACAACATACACTTGCCCTTCTTTTGATTTCGCCACACCTACTCCAAGTTCCTTACTATCTTCCCAAATCACTTGTGAAAAGTGTCCCGATTTCAAATCAATCGGTTCCCTACCAAACGCATGTAAATTTATTTCGTTATACCATTTGTCTACAGGATCTCGTCCGTAAACAGTGAAATTTGGATCCGAAGACCATGCATAAAATATGTTTTCACCATATTCATTCTGATCTCTGTGTTCCACTCGTCCAAGTTTCGAGAGTTTCTTAGCCCATTCTTCGGCATATTTGCTAAGCTTCTTGTTTAGCTCAAGAGGAGGAACAGCATGTTTTCTGCGGTATTCATTATGTGCTCTTAAGAATTCGTCTTCAAATTTTTCACCAATTATTGATGTTGATCTAAATTTAGTAACTAAATCTGTTGCGATTTCGGTGAAATTTTTGCTGCTCCTTTGGCTTGGTGATGATGATGATATCGTATTACTTTGTTGATGGTAAGACTTGACACTGCTGAAGCTGGACCTAAATTGCAACGCTCCAGGAGGTAAAACATTTTTTACGAATTGTCCACTATAGTTTCCTGGTGGAAAGTAATTTGCGACAACGTACAATTTGCCAGATTTACTTTTAGCAGTTCCTATACCCAATTCTCTTGTATCTTTCCATATAATTTGTGTGAAGTGACCACAGGTGAGTACTTCTGGTTCTCTTCCAAAGGAAAATTGATTTATTTCATTATACCATTTATCAAGACAGTCTCGAGCTTTAATTTTCACATTTGGATCTGGTGACCATCCACAGTATACATTTTCTCCGTAGTTTTTATTCAGACTGTATGCCATTGCATCTTTCTTCGCTAACTCATCAGCCCACTTTTGACTAACTTTACTAATTTCTTTATTAAGAACTAGCGGCGGTACACCATGTTCTCGTCTGTATTCATTGTGTATTTCTAATGCATCATTTTCAAATTCACTTGTCTTGGACCCAAAAAGTTTGCTCTGTAACAAAAATAGAAACAAATTAGTAAGAGTGCGCTGCTATAATTAGCGTGCGATAGCTTTACCTTACTAAAGTTGTAGATTGTGTTAACATTAATGGCAAGAATTTAGAAGAAGAAGTAACAAGAACTTATTGTTAGTAATAACTCTTAGGATTATATTTTTCAACAGCTCAAATCTCCTTATATCATTAACGATAAAATATAAGTTAGGCATGGAATTGTTAATAAAGATTAAATTATTGTGTTGCCCATTTTCTTAAGAAACGAATATGCGTAAACACTTCAACGTCGTATCTTGATTGCGATTGACTCATTCCAATTGTTAGAAATCGTAATCATTGGATTTTACGATTGTTGTATGAATAATTCTAGTCAGTTATGCTACAGGTTTCCCCATAAATTGTGACTACGGAAGTTTTGTTATTTTCATTCAAAGTGGTCTTAATTCCAAGCATGTTATTATACAAAAAATAAGTTACCACAACTTCAGGTGGGTCGCTTTCGTGTTCTTGACCGATAGTTTATTATATAAAAACCAGTATTAACAGTATTAAGCTTGCAACAACACCTTTTGCACAAATGCGTCGACTGGTGAAAAATTACAACCAGAGAAGACAGGGGTGAAGTAGAAGCAATTCAGCGTTTAGGCTAATGAGTGTCCTAATTTTGGTTCTCTTCCCTCTGTAACGCTTTTCTTGTAAAGAAAGGATAGAATGGAGAGATGAATTTATCGGACAAGCGGACACATAGGAAGGGGAAATATCCTTCTTCGTGCGTCCCTTCCTCTGTTTATTAAAGGTCGGCAATGCATTATTGTTATTATTTACAGACAATATAACTAGATATTATTTTATTGCCATTTAAAAAATAATTAATTTGTATTTTTGTTATTGTTTTTGTGATTTTTTTTACTATCGAAAATGTTGTAAACATAACATTACAGGACACTTTTAATTAAAAGTGCAATTATTTATCTATGAGATTTGATAAATAATCTGTTACAAAATTTAACTAAGTGGATATTCTTGTGAATGATTCAGTAATGCTAATCACTTACTCAATTCAATGTTTTTCATAGAGTTTTATTATAAATAACATGTAATTTGCTTGTTACAGTTAATCCTATTCATATTATGTGTATGTCAAATTAAGTCATGTTTCCGACACTGATAATATAACTGATAGCTTATTATCAATACAAGGCTATGACATTGTACTATGATTTATTTGTTAAGTATGTTTATTCAATGGACTCAACATAATTTTGTTTGTAGAAAAAGGAACCAATGAAAAAGGGCCATTTAAAATTTGATGAAACAAATAATAAGCTACTCTACATTATGTTTTTAAAATTATAATGTTTTCTTAGGTAATGTTATAACTTATAAGGGAGCAAAAGGTTAGCGTGGATTGGACATGTAATGATTCTATAAGCAAAAAGTAATGAGATTGAATGTGGAAGGCTACAAAAGTAGAGCAAGACTAAAGAAAGTATATAAAGATTGTGTGAATGAGGATATGCGTTAGAAGGCGAGGAATCCAGATATGACGGCTGATAGAGATGTATGGAGGAGTAGTACATACCGTGCCAATCCTTCGTAGGGACAAGGGCAGGTTGACGATGATGATGACGTAATTAAATGACGCTCTTAATCTCTTAGATATTAAATTATACGTAGTATACTAAGGTTGACATTTTTCTTTTATATTTATAGTTTAACAGGCCAATCACAAATATTCTATTACGTAAATGTAAGCAAAGTCAAAGCTTCATAAGTTGCATTAAGTTAACTAAAATTTATTAAAAGTTATAGAATCTAATTTACTCTCGGTATATTTACATACTTTGTTGGAGTATTTTAGTTTACTTCCTACGCAGATATCTCCAACCCACGCATTAGCTGACTTAACGCACCCACTTTATGTTTGCCAATGTACTTGTTTCTGTTTGACTAAATTTTCTAAGGTGCTAAACTGACAAGTAAGTTTAAGGTAATTGAAAATATATAATAGTATCATCATCATCAGCTCACTATACGTCCCACATTGAGGGGTCGGAACCTAACCTAAGTTAGGGCTGACTTAGGCGGGTTGGTTAACTTCATAAATATCTTTTAATAACTTCTCAGATATGTGCAAGTTGCATCACGATGTTTTCCTTTATCGTAAGAATGTCTGATAAATGTACATAGGTAAATCGGAAATCGAAAAACACATTGGTACATGGCAGGATTTGAACTCAGGACCTGCAGATTGCATGTCAAGTGCTTGACCAGTGAGCTACAGACGCTCTTATAATAATAGTAGATACAGTTTATACACTACAAAAGAAATATGTTTTTTTTATAATATAAACAGCGGGAAAAAAGCAGGCATAGAATTAACGGTAAAGTATTTCTTAACCTGTTGTTTACAATGGGCATGGTATTTCAAGAATAGATATAAAAACTAGTTTTAGGTAACAGATATTTTAGTTTTAAGCACAATGAAACATTTTTATCTTAATAATGATGTGGTTTCGTATTTTTTACTTCTATTTTTTTTATATCAGAAAGTGGCAAACGAGCGAACGGCCACCTGAAATTGCTGACATAGCGAAGTGACCGTTGCCCATAGACATACGCAATTGCATATGCGTTGCCTACCTTTAATCGACAGAGGAGAGGATGCACAGAAAGAAAATATATTCCCTTTCCATGCATCCTCTCAACCAGAAAGTCCACTTCCACTTCCCATTCTTTCCTTATAAGAAAAGGGTGGGAAGGGAAAGAGGACTAAATTAGGCATCCGGGACGCACACTCATCAGACGAAACGCGGAATTTCTTATTCCATTTGTACCTTCAAAAATACCTTTATAATACAATTAAAGTTTACGTAGTTACGTGTCTTCTAGAAATAAATGGATAAAATATATGAAATTACGTTACAGCAGATACGGATCTCCCTAGACTGTAATTCATCGCGATAAGAAATATTAATCTAACTCAATTGATCTTACCATCATAACAATATTCATTATCATGTCTTTGTCCAACAGAATTTTCATGTATGTTATTATTTTTCAAATTACTTTATGAGGGAATAGACACAATGGAATTCGTTTAACCACAAAAATAATCGTTCGTAATTTACGTACATTTTATATTGATTTAGTTTTGTTTATAGACAGATCGTGTCAGCGGTTATTTTTTTTTAAAGATTAGAATCGCCAAAATACTGCATTGCGTAAGTAACAAGCTCATAGTTAATTTATTATTATAGTTTAATAAAGGATATGAGAGAGAAAGACACATTAAGGGAATGTCACAGCTTAATTTTTATAAAAAGTGTAAAAAATATTGAAAAAATTTAAATTCTATCAAAGGACTAATCGTGTTTGCCCTTTGAATGTTTCGGTTAGTAACTAATAAGATCAAAAGCAGCAAAGGTTTTAACTTTTACTGTCTAAACAGTAATTTGTAAACACTGATAATAGGTTCCACTATGTTTATTTCGATTAGGAAATTTTAAAAAAAATTATGGTTAGGATTATGACTCACAGCATCAGTCTAATTTTAATTCTACCAAAACTATCTATAATTTTTTCGTGATACTGCAAAAATTTCAAATCACAATTAAACAACATAATAATAAAAATAAGACAACTGATAAGCCTTAAAATTCTATAAAAAAAAAAAGATATTTACCATTGCTTCTCACGCCCCTTTGCCCGGTCCAATAAAAACGCAATAAAAAAATTAACAAATGTCACACGCGTCCCTTATCCGTCACGTCGTCTGGGTTCCTGACCAATTTATGTGTCCCACTTTTGCATTATTACCCTTGCGTCCGAATGTGTGAATGCTACTGCCATTATGAAATTTAGTTGTGTTATCGCCATATTTGGCCCTCCTACTTTAATCTGATAAGTTAGAGTGAGCAAAAACGAAACTGTTTCTGCGATGGAAGTACGAATTTCCGCAGACTGCATAGACCAATTCACATTAAACTACAGAGACTGCACTCGTTTTTCTTTAAGATAAACACTACACTACATTCTTAGTATTAAATGTATATTTTAATCAAAAATCAGTCCCACACTGTGTGATGATAAACGCAATGACCGACATGACAAAGGGGAAAACAAAAAATTGAAAAATAGTACAAAAAATTATAGCACATCAAACAAAAACCAACTTTATGAGTAAAGGCAATGAGTTCCATTTAAGTTATTTTCACACGAGGTAATTAGCCTCTACGTTAGGGGAAATCACGAACCGTAACCGTTCGAGTAAATGACGAAAATTGTGATGTTTCAATTCTGATACGTGTATCTTTAAAAAAACAATGCAATTAGTAATTTAAATACATAAGGCGTTATACAATCTCTCTCTCTCTCTCTCTCCCTAGCTTGCATCCCACAAGGTGGTGGGGTCAGCTTTCCCAATCCGTCTCTTCCACTTCGCTCTGTCCATGACATCTTCTTCTGAGACTTGGCACTCACCCATCTTCAAGGTCTTTCCATCTCATAAGGCGTTATACAATAATTAAAAAATAATGTAATTTTTTCTCCATAGATTTTTAATTTTATCAGAATGATGACATAAATAAGAAGATAGTCTGATATTAACTAGGTAATATTTGATGTATGTTTGAATTACAGTTTAAATCAAATTAAAAATCAATTAACTTATTAACCTTAATGATTTTGTCGTTCCACTTCAAAGGCAGTTTTAAATTATTTATAGGCCTACATAACGAGTAATGCTTACTATGTCGTTACCACAGCATCCACGCGTGATCACCGTGCTTACGACGAGTTGCTACCGGGTAGGTAATGAACGATGACCTTAATTCGCCGATTTTTAAATTACATTCCGTTTTAATTATGTAGTAATACTAAATATACTTAATATGAAACTGATATATAAACACGGCTAAACACTCACGTATATACGTCCGGTGGCGGCACCGACTAGTTTCGAGCCCATCGGGGGCCCATCGGCATCGGCGAGTGAGCGACGGGCCGCGTCCGCGAAATAATACCAGTGCCACTCATCCTGATGAAGGGCCCCCGATGGGCTCGAAACTAGTCGGTGCCGCCACCGGACGTATATACGTGAGTGTTTAGCCGTGTTTACATATCAGTTTAGTATAATGTCTCACGAAAGTTTGAATAATTTAATACTTAATATGTTTCAGCACAAGAAAGAGGAGTTTGCGTTAATGTTTTTTTTTTATATCAAAAGGTGGCAAACGAGCGAGCGGCCACCTGAAATCACTGAAATAGCGAAGTGACCGTTGCCCATAGACATACGCAATTGCATATGCGTTGCCTTTAATCGACGGAGGAGAGGATGCACAGAAAGAAAATATCTTCCCTTTCCATGCATCCTCTCAGCCGGAAAGTCCACTTTCACTTCCCATCCTTGCCTTATAAAGAAAAGGATGGGAAGGGAAAGAGGACTAAATTAAGCCTCCGGGACACACACTCATTAGACGAAACGCGGAATTGCTTCCACTTCACGCCTGTCTTCTGTGTGGTCGTGGTATTTCACCGGGCGAGCCGGGCCGATTCGTGCGAAGATGTTGAAGCGGGCTCTACCACTGTTAAACCAACTTAAAATAATATAAAATTCTCTCTGTTTATTGTCTACACTGTGTCTTTATCATTACGACTCGATAAGGGATTTAGATACGGCCAGATTATACATTCGACGTCTATACTTTGATAAACTCGCTGAAATATATACGAATTAAAAATTAAACATGCGTTTATTTCGTAAAAACAATTGAAAGTTTGAACTGAAAATATTTTAATAATGTTAAAATAAAGCAGAATATTAAAGCGTACAAATTACATACATGTTACAAATAAAAATAAAAAACAAATAAAAAATATTGAATAAGACATTCCTTATCTTAACTCAAATGGTTTATAAATAGTAGGTAAAAGATATTCAACGTTAATTGATAAATTAGTTTAATTTTTTTTTGACATAAAAAACAAAACTATGAAACTAAATAAGGAATATGAATATTTAGTACTTCTTATACTGTCACTGTCATATTATATGCATTTCTAAAGATTTCCACTTCTCAATTACCTTAAAATAATAATAATATTGTCATCTATCAGATTTCCTTTTTAAAAACTAAGATATGTACGATAACCTACGGTATGATTTTCCAGCATGAATGACCGCGGAATTCTGAGAGCGAAATTAGTTTAAAAAATTGTTTCTCTTTGTTTTGTTAAATATAATAATAGAGATGACGAATTGATTTATGTAGACATTTTGGTCTCAGAAATCAACGCTTAGTAGATACGATTAAAGAAATTCTACAACCTACAAACTCTAAAATATAAAGCAGTAGAGTTCAACCTACTATATATTAACCTATTACCTAAATAATTTGTTTATAAACTTATTACATACAACACTTTAGTTGTCATAGAAACAAAACTTTATCCGATAAACTCTGACATTGTTGTTTCTTTGTATTGGACGACAATAATAACTTCTTTTGATAATGGAAACTGAGTTTGAGTTGAGAGAATAGTCTCTCAACTTAAACAACATGCGAGTTTATTGTTATTAGCAAAGAGGGAATATTGAAAACTATATAGAGTTTACTGTTCGAAACCTTATAATTATTAAAACAATTTAAGTTTTGAAATAAAAACATAAGAACTTGATACTCTACACTATTTATAAACATAACAGCTATATTATGTTATGATTTTTTCTTTTAAAGTAAATTTAAAATAAGTATTTTAGTCTTCACACGTGAAAATAATGAGGTTAGAGGAACGATGAATATTTTATCGTTAGAAGTAAGTGGAGGTTTCCGTCGGGTCCTAAGCGAATGTACATTGGCCATATTGACACCACACGATATAGTGATCCCTAATCTCTTCCGTCCCATCTAATGTCCATGAAAACCTTATTTACCTATATTTAATTTTAATTTAATAATAATGTAAACAAGAGATAACCTTAATACTTCTACACAATATTTATTAGTAATAAAAATGTGAACAATATAACTTACAATATAACAACATCCTGGCAACACACAGGGACATTTCATTTTTAAACTGTAATACACTATTAATTAATATTAATTTAATAAATAACTTCACGATATTTAGATGCACGCTTCACTGTTTCGTGCTACGAGTACACTTTCCGTTCGGAGTATCTTCGCAGTGGCGGACATTTTAATCCAAGATAAGTGACGCTTCATTTTGTGGCGTAAGTAAGTAGCGGGGAGCGAATAACAAGGAAACAGGAAAATATTAAATACACAAATATTTCCTGTATTTTATTTGTGGTTTAGTTTATCTATAAAATGTAAATAACTACAAATTCAGAATTCAATTGTCTTTAATAGTTATACTGGTTCGTATGAAAGTCCTTTTGCGATATACATACGTAAGAACATCTTTTGTTATTTTATAGTATAACGCGCGGAATTAAAAAAAGCTTAATATCTATGTGTTCTTTGAGATAATGTTCTACATCTGTGCCAAATTCCATCAAAATCCGTTAAACCGTTGCGGAGATACCTTCAAACTTCTATCTATCCATCCAAATAATTAAATTTATAATATTAGCAAGATTTATCACGGAATCTTCTGGATATTGATAATTTTTAAGTAACAATTTTTATTTTTTTGACTTCTAACTGTTGAATGAAAGCAACAAAGCTAATAAAATCAAGTCCTTTTTAACATAGAAAAAGATTCTTAAATTTTGTGACTTGTCTACCTAATATATGCGAAGACTACTTAATCCGTCGATGTTTACGCAAACGATAACCAAAAAGAATTTACAATATTTAAGGTAATTAAGCAATTTTAGGTGGGAAATACCGTTACGTTTGAATTATTCGGTTTCCATAAGTTTATTAGATTTTATGGTACTGAATATTTTATCCGACTAAAATGATAGTATTGTATTTCGCAATGATGTATATTTATGTTATTGCATAAAAATTATTTGAAAGTCACTGAAACCACCTACAACAGGAATAGCGAACGTTCTATTTGTCTATAGAAATGTTTAATGAGGATGACGTCATTCAAGTCCAAATTATTTGAATTATACGTATATGAAGTTTAAAAAGATGCGCTAACGAATTATTTTAACACTATGGAGGAATATCGAAAAGCCAAAGCAGTGTATCTTGGGGCCGACCCATCGGCCGGCCAAGATACCGCTGGCGTGACGCCGTAGAGCTGGACCTGCGGGAGCTACAAGCGATGAACTGGCAGGAGACGGCGCAGGACATGCGACCTTGGCGGTCTCTTGTATCGGAGACCGCCAAGGTCGTACGAAAGTGTTTAACACTAAGATTATAGTGCATAATGAATTTGAAGTATCGTGTCCCAAATATTGTGTGCCATTGGCTCACCATCCCTGGCTTAGCCCAAATATTAGAACCATTTTGAAGACTAACATTTAATGTTTTTTTAATGTTTATAAGATATGCATCAAACTCTCATTTAAAATAGAATGCACTTAAAAGCATATTCGCCATGTATAAGTTTTTTTCGAGCACAATGACGCATTTTTTCCCTTAATCCTACGTCAATCCCACGCGGTGTCAGCGACATGACAGTCAACGACTTCGTAGTTTTTCAATACTAGCAAAGTGAATGAATTTCTAATAAGATATAATTAAGTGCCGACGTCTATCGCTATAAAAAGATGTACAGCTATAAGTTATGATTTACACACAATCATGTCCAAGGATGTATAAACAAGTGTAATTGTGATAAGAAAGCTGTCATGTTTCAAGCCAAACAATCTTGCGATAGTCAATTTCATATTTAAATAACTGATAATAAATTAATAAGCTTATAAATTAATCCAACATATTCCCAGTTCAACACATGGCCGCTTGTTTGGCTACATACGAATTCTGTGGAAGTCCAAAACACAACATTCGCCTTAATGGCTCTATAAATACACTAGCTGATTACACTTAAAGTTCAATTTTGCGTGTTAAAAAGATGTACTGCGTTCTTTAACAGGAATATTATGATCATTGATTAGTACAGTAAATCAGCGTACAACGATTTTGATTATACGTACATTGATTCACCGAGGTTACAGAGGCACATTGAATACAAAGAATCAACTCTTGTGGTTTCAATTTATTTTATACGCCGCTTGCCTCATCAAATAATTGCTTTGGAATTTTTTTTTATTATATACTAATATTATAAATGAGTATGTTTGGATGGATGGATGTTTGTTTGAATGTATCTTCAGAACGGCTGAAATTTCGCATAGAAGTATAACATAGCCTGGAAAAATATATACGCTACTAATTTCGTTTTTTTATTCTGTGCGGACGCAGTCGCGGGCGACAGTTATATATGAAATCTTGTATCAAAGTTTTCATATTTTTTTAGATTTCAATATAAGAGAGTAGCCCATTTTGTTTTATATAGATGCATGAATTAGGATATGGATATGCTGTTATATTAAGGTCGTTTTAGTAGAAAAGATGTTTTTTTTTGTGTGATTTCGAGGTGTATAAACATAGATTTCTGTAAGTTTATTTTCATAGCACTATCTAAGTATTTAAAGACAGGTTTCTTTTACATGTGCACTTTTTTCTAGTTTGTCTTCCCGTTTGTACAATTTAAACACTAATTATTTGTCACTATTTATTAAGTAAGAGTTTACGAAATTTGAAAAAATCAATTCGTACTCAATTCCATGCCTTTTCAAGATTTTTAATGCTATGAAATTCCACGATTGAAGTGAGACAGAGATGTAGCTGTCAAGCGCCATCAGTTCGCGTAAATTAATTATAGCATCAAGGACGCAGTTCTATTCGGAGGACTTTTGTTCCCTTCTTTTTAACGTGTCAATCTGGTTAACATTTGTACACGTCAAGAAATGTCGCATTTAAATGGATTTGGATAAAAATAGCATTTTTAAGATTACATTTATAAAATCCTAAACTTTATATTGACACAGTTAAATAGAAATGTATTTTGTAAAAAAAAATCCAGCTTGATACCTTCCCGCGTTTTTAAGAAAAAGGGTCTTGACAGACGGACGGACAACAAAGTGATCCTATAAGGGTTCCGTTTTTTTCCAATGAGGTACAGAACCCTAATGATAATATAAACCCAAGTAACTAACCTTTCCAGCATATCGCGGAATACAAATATATATACGTACAAACTCATTTACATATCCGCCAAAAACATTACTACCCCAGCAAAACTACCGAAACAAACTTTTTAAGACCTTTTCTTTCGGTTGCTTCCTAAATTAAAAAAAATATATAATTAAACACATATGGTACTATGTTCTATAGTAAGAAAAAAACAAGATATATTCCACAAAGAACGCCCTAATTAAAATACAAGAAAACAAAGGTAGCACTACAAACGTGAAAATAAGACTATGTTTTTAAAAATCCTCAAAGCATTTTGGAATTCACAAAACATAAGAACTATTTTACCCAGTAAGTAAGGCATGAACACATTGCATCATAGCTTATCTAGTTAATGACGTCAACACACGTTGGGGACACTAAAAGCTTTGCCATAAAACTGTAGCTTTTAGCTTAAATAAAATTTGTTATCGATTGTAGAAAGTAAATATAAGATAGCTTAAAACTTTTATGTTTGATAGTTCACCAACGTGTAAGTTTCTACATATCCAAATAATAAAAACTATAAAATTTGTAAATAACAGCCCAATAAAAAGACTATCCAAACTATCAACATTCAGACCAAGAAAACGAATCGAATGACTCTTCATTCGTTAAAATCTGGTTCGACAATCCTCCCAAAAAGTTAAGCACTTTTTTTACCCTCCCTGATAAGGTAAAATTAACTAGCTTATTTTCACATTTGTAGTGCATACCTTTGTTTTCTTGTATTTTTAATTAGAAAGTCAAAAGTCATCTCAAAGGCGGCAACGCATCTGCGGTTCCTCTGGTATTGCTGATGTCCATGGGCGTCGTTGAACACCTCGGTGTTCCCGCTGCTCGTTTGCCCCCTTCTGTTAAAAAAAAGAGCCTCACCATAAAAACTTAAACAGTTTCGATCACATTATAACGCATGTTTAACTATATTTTGAAATGTATTTTGGAGTAAAACAGGATTTTTAGCAGTCCAATTAAACAGTTGAATTAGGGAAATCAGAAAGAAAGAGACGTAAGTAACGAAAGAAAAGAAAGTAAGATGAAAAGAACAATACAATTATGATTAACTAATATTATCTCGAATAACAATGACGTTATCTTTAATCTGAAATATTACTTCATTCATATATATTGGTGGTTGGAAATATATATATATAAGATACTTTGATTTATTCTGATTTCCTCTCGTATATTAAATATTTCGTTACATTTTGACACAAAGATATTATTTGATGAAACCGTATCAAGTAATTCATTCATCTTACAAAAGAATTGTGAGAAAGAATGGAATAAATCAAATTAGATCACAAAAAGAAAGTGAAACGTTTTATGAACCTGATATCTGTACAGAAATTAATGGCTTCTTATGAAATTAATAATGACATCAAAACCGCAGAAGAAATGAACACTAGTAAATATAAATACTAAAATATCAAAAGACCACCAACAATTTATTTGAAGAGAATTCACCTTGAATCACACGAGAAATCTTAAAGTATCTACATTACTTTATAAAAATTATTAAAGCTAATGTTTAAACGGATGGATGAATGTTTGTTAGAAGGTATCTTCAGAAGTCATCGAATCTCTAGGAAATTTAGCATATACATATAGAGACCATATTGTCTGGAAGAACATAGGCTACTTATGATTCCGAGAATGGGGACAATTCATGTGGGATATGTTTGTTTCACCTATTAACTCGATAAGTCCACAATGGCTCAAGAAATCTTATTAAAATTTAGCAAAGATAATGAACATAATAATACAACATAACATACTTTTTAATTTAATTACATTACGTTTATTTATTATCTTCATGAGTATTAATTAACCAAGCTACTTGATCTTGCATTGTAAACTGACCGCAGATATCACGTAACTCGACTCAATGTGCGAGGATATATCATAGGAAATTGCGGTGCAATTTTCGAATCGTTACTTACTAGTTGTACATTCGAGTCACGAAACATCACTATGAGGCTTAGACTCGATAAATCGATATTGTACGACCA